AAAGTCACCCCCTAAGGGCGGGTGGTTGGTGGGCGGATGGTGGGCCAAAGTTTTTTTCTTTTTGATCCCATGTGGATTTTAATAAAACCCGCTTAGGTTGAGTGTCTTAATGGCCGGCCGCAAAAAAAAAAGAAAAAATCTTCCCTCACCCCGGTCCCTCCCTCCTCCTATACCCTATCTCCTAACTTCTTTCCATTTTATTTTTCACAAAAATCCTACTGGTTTTGAACCCGGGAACTTCTGAACACTAGGCTGATGTCTTACCCCTAAGCCACCAGCACCACTGAAATTTATTTCCTTTTACCTTCCTCTTAAGCTACATCTTCGGTTATAATTCCAGAAAAATCAATTAACTTACTTTCTAAATCACAAAACTATACTTGGTCTCGAACCTTCAAACTCTTGTTCACTACGCCGGTGTTTTACCAATATGCCACCGATGCCTCGGAAATTTAAGAGCTTTAATCTTCCTCTTATGTTATATTTCGCTATATAATTCCATAAAAATCTCATTACAAAAATACTTCTGTATTCGAACCACCAACCTTGTATTTACAACGCCGGTGCTTTACCGCTAGACCACCAGAACATGTACGTCAAAGCCGTTTGCGATCGTCCTTATATTATACGGCTTGATTTATAGTTGCAGAAAAAATCGTATTTATTTATTCACTTTTCAATTTCTATTGACAAGACCCCGTGGTCTAGAACCCGGTACCTTCACAATTCTACGCCAATGTCTTACCCACGTACCACCAGGTCTATACAAATTTTTTACCTTCACCTTCCCCATATGGTACCACTTCCTTCCTACATGCACAAATTTTGTACATTCTTTTTTCACAAAAATAGCCATGTCTTCCAACCACGTAACTTCTAAACCATGCGCCAGTGCCTTACTAAAGGCCCACCATGGTTATGGCAAATATTTGCCTTCGTCTTCCACATATCCTACCGCTTCGTTTCTACAAAATTCCTCATTACTTCTTGCTCCGTTTCAAAGTCAAAAGCAAAAGACTTACGAAAGAGAATTTTTCGTGCGAGAGAGGAAAACGTGAATTTTTACGTTAAAATTTAATTTCACTTCAGCGATCGCTTGGAATAATGCACTACATCGACCAATAAATTATTCAAATGCAATATCGGTTTTAGTGTTAATTACAGGAATAACAAAATCGTGAAAAAGAAAGTGAGAGTAGTCTATTTGTTATTCCGAGCAATTAGTACTACAGTGTAGTCTGGTAGAGCTCCCATGAGATGGTACTCTTTATAAGTCACCGTCTGAGAACCACAAATCTAATATATTTATTACTATGTTCTGCTATATAGTTGGAAGCGGCGGTTGAGTGAATGAACTCTTATTATTCCATGGAGTAGTTAATGATATTTCAGCTAGGTACAAAATACCTCCTGCTATGGAACCAAAACGTCCATTGGCGTCTTCGCAAGCGTCCAATAGCTCCTACCTTGATTCAAAGGAAACCATGTTGCATTTCTCTGGAATGTGAGGCAGTGTGGTTTGGTAGCTATGTACTATTGTTTTGGAGGGTCTTCAGTGTCTCCATCCTCTTTCAACACCATGAAAACTTCAATTTTAATACAAAACAGTGCAGTCTTCACAGCTCCCCCAATCTCTTCACTTAATTTCTATTTTACTCTAAGGCGCTGAGGTAGCTTGGGCTATATAGTGCCAAAACATTAATTCTAATTAGAAAGGATGTAGAAGGAAGTGACTGTGTTCTGATTTACAGCACTGCCACAGCATTTGAATGGAGGAACCAAGGAAAACCACAATCCGGTTAGCTGGTCCACAGGCCGAAAATTGAACCTAACACATTCCAAATACAAAGCATGAGTGCTAACCACTGAGACATGACATTCAGTCCTGTCTCTTCAAAATCCATTTTAATTAAGCTTATACTTTTAATACTATTTATACATCTAAATTTAGGTTTTCTAAGTGCAAGGTTTCCAATCAACATTTTGTAAGAATTTTTGATACATGCCACAGGTTCTGTCCAGCTCATTCTCTTTAATTTGATCATTCTCATTATATTTGATGAATAAAAACATGAAAGTCCTCATTATGTAGTTTTCTCCAGCCACCACAAAGTGCTTATGCATCTGTGTCCAGTCCAAGTGAACTGATGTGGGTATGTCTTATCGTGGACTCAGTGTGGACAGCAGAAGCCATGTTGTTTATCTGCTTCCATTCTGAATGGTGCCTGATTACACTGTTCACATTCACTGGCTGACCATCCCACTGATACTAGGTAGGGCATGGTCTGGCCTTAGTTAAGATTGTTACAGTGAAGACAGATGTTCACTGATATTTCAGAGGAACAAGTTTCTTCCAATTTCAGAGTATCCACCTTGAGGTTTCTTGCATAATGTCAGTAAACCTCTATAAGGCTTCACAACATATTTCACAAGAGAGTAACATTATTACTTAATGCTATGAGAAACATAATTCCTACAACATAACTAGTGACTTGCTTTTCAAAAAATCTTTGGATTTTTTGTAGGGCTTCCTAAAGTCTTTTTATTATTTTTTTTCTGAATTCTTATGTTGTAGAGAATTGAAATTTGGTTACAATGCCCATTAGCATGAATGACATTTCTTTATTTATTCATGCATATGACACAAAAGTCTGAATTCCCATCTCCCGGAAGATCCTGACATACATGAGTAAACTTTATGCCAGACTTCAGCAAAAACTGCTGCTCATCTCTCCTGTGAACAGCTCTAGTAAATCATCAGTCTTCCTCAGGAATTCAACTGTGTTTATACCGTCACGGTATTTGAATAATTACATGGTAACTTGCATCTTATGGTTACTTAACCCTTTAAGATGTGCCTTAACTGAGGTGGTTATTTGCTGGCCTATCTTCTGTGGAGGTCTGGGTTCAATGTCTGGGTAGTTCATGTGGGATTTGTGGCAGACAAGTGGCACTGTGGCAGGGATCCCACCTCCTCCTCTCTGAAACATTTCAGGTTTCCCCTGTCACCAATAATTCTACCTGTCACTGGGTCACTATGCCCATTTGGGGTCTTGCCCCACTCATATGTTAAAAAAATCAGCTTTTACTATGTTACTAATTTGATGCTAGCAAACAAATTAAATCAAATCACCTACAGCAATAATTTAAACATTTCCCAGACTATACAGTGTCATATCCTTTGAGACCATAATGTCAGAACTCTGAGCTCACCACCTTCTGAACCAATTAACCTGTGGGTATCATGTTAAAATGAAACTCATTCAGCCTTACTGATGGCACAGTGTTTTAATATTTGTTTGTTACACATGGAGGGTTGAAGTGTTTCCATCTGTATATACATATACTCAGTATGTCACTATTTCTGTTGCAAAGTTGCAATCTACTGACACATGTCACAAGCCTCCTTGAACAAATGGTTCCCACAGTTGTGCCCAATCAGTGTCCATTAACTCGGAGCCATTGATGATAACAGATGTTCTGCCATTCTCACTGCTTGCACTGTTGTTGCTATTCCCTCGGTAACCATTGGGGTTCATGGTCTGCCATCGCCAAAAGTCTTCACCTACAAGAGACATCATGACCTTAATGCACTTGGACTGTTTCCATCAGAAGGAGTTGATAAGGTGTTGGCTTAAAATATGGAAAGTCAATGTGTGATAATGAAAGTAAGTAGGTGGAGCACCACAAGCAGGACAGCCATTTAGGATTATATAAAGAGGAACTTCATATTTTATTCTGGTCCACTAGTATCTTTAGAATTGGGGCCTGGACATGTAGTCAGGATGGGGGAGGTGAGGGATGTAAGAATTTTGTTAGACAGGAGCTCTTGGAAAACAATCACTTTGAAGAATTGATCAAGGAGAAGATGAGAGAATAACATTCAGATAAGCATGATTCTGTCTAATGACCACTTTTGGTACTGGTGGTGTTGAACGTTCAGGTTCTACTACCAGACTAATAGAGGGGTTATTGATACCAAAATCCTGTATGTCCCTTTGAGTTTCTCCCATACAAAATGTGCCAGATTCTTACTATCATCAACTGGGCAGAAGTTAAGTATGAAGAACAGTAACAGCAGAATATGAATTTCCAGAAGCAGTGACAGTCATGTGTTAGAAAATGTATACACACATAGAGATGCATAGAAATATAGCTATAGCAATTTTTATAGTGTGCATCCTGTTGTGCCATAACCATATGGTTATGGTTACCTAACCATATAGCAATAGCAGGTCACTGCTTCATGCTCACACAAACATCTAAATGACAAAGTCCCTTCTTTGAACACCAGATGGTCATACTGGAATCAGCACAATACACTAACCACTCATTACTTTCCTTCATATCATAACTTTCAGGATCTACAAGAAGTAATTTTCAGGGTAGAAATACACAGCAGATCTGAAATATGTCTAATGCAGAGGTCCAACCAGAATTTCCTTATTGCAAGAATAAATACCAAGTGTAAACATATTACAGTGGTCAGCAGCTTCATATGTTTGTAACATGTATTTTTCTTGAAGAAAGCAGTCTTCTGGGATTTGGCACCACGTATATGTGGTGTTAACTGACGTTTCGGAGGAACGTATCGCCTCCATCTTCAGGGTAGAAGAAAAAATATAAGAAATCTGCAAGCAAAGAGACCGTGAGAACCGGTACCGGTCTCTTCGCTTGCAGATTTCTTATATTTTTTCTTCTACCCTGAAGATGGAGGCGATACGTTCCTCCGAAACGTCAGTTAACACCACATATACGTGGTGCCAAATCCCAGAAGACTGCTTTCTTCAAGAAAAATACATGTTACAAACATATGAAGCTGCTGACCACTGTAATATGTTNCATTCCAAAAGTTTGTACTTTAAAAGATTTCCCATACTATGGAATTTACATCAGACTGATACCTTTTCCACATTAACTTGTATAAAGGCCCTTGAAAATTTTATGGTTCCCATCTCTACCTACAGTTTCCACAGAAAATCCTTACACAGCTCCCCCTTGCAAGTAAAAGTGATGGTAGAGAAATCCCTGTAACAGGCTGTGAGACATCAAGGCTTCCACATTTTCTCTGGATAATTGGCTCACAGATGGCGGTAAGTTTGTCAGCCTTATGTGACAGCCGCCCTTTAACCCCCCCCCCTCCCCAAAGGAAGATTCTTGGTACTCATTTCTGTTAGAGGCTGAGCTGATGCCATGGCCACAGTGCAGCTGGAAGGATTAGGTCAATTGAAAAAATCCGCCTTATAGGGACTCAAACCTGTGACCTTCTGGCTTGTAGCATAGTGCCCCTCCCCCTTGCAGGACACTCTGGAATCATAGTTTCACAGAACATGCACACTATGGGTTTGAAAAGTTCTGGAAAGACAACTTGACAAACAATGCTTCTATCTAGACTTAACTTTTCTCAAACACCAAACTGCAATACCAACCAAACCATAGGATTCCTCCACTGCCACTTACTGATGCCATCTTCTGGTCCTGTCCAGAACTACTGGTAACAAACATACACGATGACAACACAGGAAGCCTTAAACCTTTTATACAATATACAAGGTGAAATAAAATCCACATAAAAGCACCCCACAGTGTGATCCCTTCTTAAAAAAAAAAGTTGAATATACTGCACAACACATTCCTGTGGCATTTAGTTTTCAAGATTTGTATCACCATCAAATGAAGCACATTATTAAATGATCAAATCACAGGTGTCTCATAGTTACAATATGTGTTTGAAGTAGCCTCCGTCTATTTAGAGGCAGACGGCAGTGTGCCATGCAGCATTCTCTTGAACATGAATTAACATGTTGGCATCAACTGTTGTTAGAGCTGCTTTAATTCTTGACACAAGATCTTTCACAGCCATGGAAGGGACTGCATAAATAAGCTCCTTCAGGTGTGGAGTTAGATCTGACAACTGAGGAGACCATGCAATCTGCCCTAGACATCCAATCCACCTTCCTGGATATGTTGTGTTCAACCATTGCTGGACATCTTCCCCAAAGAGCACTGGAGCTCTGTCACGCTGAAACCACAACCTCTGTCTCGCATCTAGGGGTACTTCTTCAAGCAGCCCCAGTGGAATATTTTCTAGAAAATCATGGTATCACTGAGCAGTCACCTTGCCAGGTAGCAAAAACTGTCCCATGAGAATGTCCCTGACAATTTCAGTCAAAATGCTGACACTGAAGAAGATAACATCAGAATGACTGCGAGCTCAGAGGTGACTGTTGAGCACACCCTCACACATAAAGCATGCTTTGTCTCTCCACAGAATGTTATGTAAAAAGATGTAATCTGCATTGTTGATTAGCCATTCACATAGACTACAGTCATCTACAAGCAGATTTGTGCTCTGCAAGTACTGGTATGGATGCAATTGATCATCATGGACAATTCTGATAACCCTCAGTTGGATCAGTCCAAATTCTTGTGCAATATGACATGAGCTTCTCCACAGCTCTTGTTCCACAACCATAATTTGGCACTTTCATTGGCTGGTGTCCATACCATCTGCGGGGGACCTGCATTCATGTGTGATACGGGTGTTACACTTCACGCTTCATGGAAATACATCGAAACATGTTGGTGTCTGATTGACATTGGCCATGATAACATAGCACATAGTCCCATGCAGCAGTACCAGCTTGCCTATTACAGATACCAGGGGTTAAGAGCATGTTGAAATGTTTGTCACGTGTGTATTCCATGACAACTTGATCATAACTGAGCCCTGCTGTGCACTGTGTAACAATCTGACAAGTAATACTGCTTAGAAGTATGTTATCACACTTTACAGTGACATTTGAAAACAGATCATCTTAGGATGTAAGCTGTATAACACTTGCAATCCCCCTCCCCACAGAATCACACTACAGAGAACACGTGCACAAGTTTCATTTCATCCTGTATGTAAATATACCTGACAAAGCTCCTTGCAGTTCCAAAGCATGCAGAACTGGGAAAATCTGAGGTTCAAGGAAACGTGTTTGTTAGTGTTCATGCAGTGTGCAGAAATGTTACAATATGAGGGACTCTGTGGGAAAACTAATGTTGTGTGTACAGTCCTACAATAATGTAGTGCCACATGTCTACCACATATAATCCCCCACAATGCTACTTGCACTTACACATTTGTTCCAAAGTGTATTTTGCTTTCCAGCCTAGTTCACGCTCAGCAAGAGACGTGTTGGCATACATGGAGACAATGTCCCCAGTGCGTCGATCCTGTATCTCAAAAGGTACCATGGTCTTTGTTACTGCCTCAAAAGTTCGGAGCAGTTGGAGGACCGACACGCCTTGCCCTGTCCCCAGGTTGTAGGTCTGCAATGAAAACACTTACACATGGTCTTTATGCGATATTTCGGCTGCCATTCCAGTTCAGTGAGGGCCCGCCCCGCATCACAAACCAGACTGTCAACATCTCCAACTCGTCTGGGTCCCATAGTGTATGGGATGGACTCCCCGCACACCTCTTCAAACTCTCGGATGAGTTGCAATACGGACAGTCCCGTTCCCAAACCAAGATTATAAACCTATGTGAACACAAGGGGCAGTTTTGTCTTGTAACAGTTGCACAGAAACAAGACAATGACATAACCAAATCAGAATTTCATAAATTTTTATGTGGATTTATTAATAGTCAGTAGCAAGAGTGGTAGTTAATTTAAAATTAGGCACCAACTCATCAACAGAAGTGGACAGGGACTCCATCTATAAAATGCTGTATTTGCTGTACAATTAAAACTTAAGTTTTCATTTTGTCTGTTTTAGATCTGGAAGAAGTCACAAGCAGTCAGAAGAGGACCTAATGTGAGTAAGTACCTGCTGCCTACTTTAAATTGTAAGTACCTTGAAGGAACACGCATTCATAAACAAAACTTGCATAAACATATTTCAGGAGAACTCATAGAGAGTGAATTAAAAAAATTAAGTTATAATATTATTTCAGAATACAGAAATGAGGAAGTAGGTGCACAGCCAATAGAAACTCACCTCAAATTATCCTAACAAAAAGGTGAAAAATTAAATTAAGGCATAAAACTTGAATTTTGAGTTTCCTCATATCTTAATCTCATTCATCTAACTTTTCATTTTATTTTTTCTAAATGCTTTAGAATGCAGTACATACACTATAGAAACAATTTAAAAAATTCAAATGCTTAAAGTGACAATTTCAAGGAGTGGAAGGATAAATGTTCAGGGCACTCAGTGGGCATTCGCCATACTCAGATTTCTAAAAAAACTGCTTATCATATGAAAAACATTTAAAGGCACTTTAGATGAAGAAAATATTGATAATAATCTCTCATCATATCATCAAAGTGATGACATAACTTCCAGGCAGCCATGATGTGCAAATGCCAGATAATTATGAGAGTTTTTAAAACAGATAGAATACAGGTTTCTAAAAAGAAGTTGTGAAATTAGTGGACGAGTTTTAACAGTTAAACATATATATGTGGAAACAGCCTCATACAAAAGAAAACCTTAATACTTCCAGTGGACAAAAATGTTATTTTAAGTATGGCTGCATTGGAGGTTCTCACACCAGTGACTATAAATATTATGGTCATCTGGGATGTAACACCATGTAGTCTGGTCAAAATCTCCTGACTTTTGGAGTAACACACTGCTTCCATTCTCAGGGTTGAAGAATAAGCCAAGCAAGCTGTGCTTGCTGGTTTCTTGTCTCGCTTACTCTTCAATCCTGAGGATGGAACCAGTACAGTCCTCCGAAATGTCTGTGGACTTCTGCCCAGTTCTACAGCATGATATCTCAAACAACTGTCCTCTTATTTTAACTGATTTTCTGAAATTATAAAATTGGCACACTTGCTATGATCATAGAAACAATTTTGCACTTGAGAGGATTTAAGAAAATGTACAGACTTGTTATTAACTGAAAATTCATTTTAATTAATCTGTCAAAAATAATTTCAGCCATTCAGATCTTACTGGCATATTATTAGCTCACACATCAGAGCAGTTTAACTCTTCCATGAGTTAAAAAATGGCTGGAATTCAACTACCTAAATATGATAATCAGTTGGATCCAGATACATCAGCATCTATCAGAGTTACCCATTCTGCACTTATAATGCAAGACAAAACTTCATAATTCCATTTCATGAGACCCCATTTTTAGTTATCCCCCCCCTTTTTATTGCACTACCACCACCTGCATAGATCACCATTTTTCAATCACCAGTGTGACTTTCACACTTCCCACTCTCAGTATCACCATAGCATTGATATATGCTCTGAACTGTGTTCGCTATAAGGTAAATTTGTGTTTACTGTAAGACAACAAGCACAAGAAATCCTCTGAAATATGTTTACGAGCAACTGTTCCTCTCAAGCCTCATAGCAGCTGATCCATCTACCTTCAGTCGGAGATGTTCTTTCTTGAGTTTATTTAGAGCTGCCACATGTCCTGATGCCAGGTCCATCACATGAATGTAGTCTCTGACACCTATAAAACACAAGAAACTCTTCTATGTTTGGAATCTTACTACTAGTCTGTCTATCATCAGTTCAGCAGTGTGTAGGCACACTATGAAACTCCATATGGACACTCTGGCTTGGTAATTACAAATTGTCTACAATGAACAATACTGAAACTAACCACGTGTACTTCAGAGACAAGAACAGCACTGCCATCACTTAATGTAGAATTTTGATATTTTGTATGTAAGTAGGGAAAGTGGTCAAGAGCACAGTTTGAAATGAATTATCACATTCATCAAAATATGATTACATGTAAGGGGATAAAAGTTAACTGTCCCTGTACTTAACCTCTACACTATGACAACACATTGGGAAACAGAGGTCAAACTCCATATATTCTTAATGGAGGCACTAGATGCAGACATGTGGTCAGCTTCACACTCAGACGACGTTACCTCTGGGGAAGGGCCCCAGTATCCAATGGATATGAATTGATCCCTGGGTGCCTCGGGCAGAAAACTGTAGTGACTCACTCCTCTGGCTGAACAGGGTACATATCAGAAGCATGAATTTTGAGAATATGAACAACATACAACATAATGACATGTTCAGATGAAAACCTGACTGAAGACAATACCAGCGTGCCATTTCAATAAGAATTCCAATAAAGGTAGGGATAGAGCATATCTAAATACTACAAAATGTTCCAATTCTGGAAGATCTGTCAATTTCCCTTAGTTAAATGTTCAGTTTTCAGATGTAAACTAAGTAACTAACTTCATGCAGCTGAGCCCTTCTTGAGAAGCAACCAGGTTTGCAGCTACTCAAGAACTTCCCAAAATGTTATGAATCTCAAAGATTCATTACCATGTTCACAAGGGCCCTCCACTGGTCCCTATCCTGAACCACATCAATCCAGTCCACACCACCGCATTACATCTCTGTAAAATCCATTTTAATATTATCCACCCACCTTTGTCTTCCCAGTAGTCACTTTCCTTCTGGCTATCCCACCAATATCCTATATGCATTCCTTTTCTCCTCCATTCGTGCCACATGCCCTGCCCACCTCATCCCCTTTGACTTGATCATTCTAATTATACTTGGAGAACAGTACAAGTTATGAAGCTCCTCATTATGCAGTTTTCTAACCTCTTTGTCACTTCATCCCTTTTCAGTCCAAATATTCTCCTCAGCACCCTGTTTTCCAACACCCTCAGTCTATGCTCCTCCCTTAATGTAAGAGACTAAGTTTCACACTCATACAGAACCACAGACAAAATTGTAGTTTTGTATATTATAATTTTTATGATTTTAGGCAGCAGATGAGAAGACAGAAGGTTCTGGGCTGAATGACAGAAATCATTATTCATATTCACCCTCTTAATTTCCTTCCCAATCAGGTTTTCATTTGTTATTGTTGTTCACAAATATCTGAACTGTGCCACATTTTCAAAACATCTGTTTCCTATCTTTATGTCATGAGTTTGCCCTGCATCTTGGTGACAAGACAGGAACATATACTTAGTTTTTTCTGTGTTTACTTCTAGACCAACCTCCTTACTTGCATCAATTAAAGTTTGTGTGTTTTCATTATGGTATCTATATTATCACCCAGTAGATTTACAACACTGGCATAGACCAAATTTTCCAAATAACCTTCATACTATCCAGACTTGAGGGATCAGGTTTCAGTCAGGCACTCCATTTAGAAGGTATTATGCAGACTCAATGGACTGGGATTTATTCAGGAAATCCATCTAGGAGGTATTAGCCAGACTAAAGGGATTTGATTTTATTCAGGCTCTCAATTTAGAAATCATTAACCAAATGTAAGGGACTGGGATTTATTCAGATGCACCGTTTAGAAGGTATTATGCATATTAAGGTTTATTCATGCACTGAATGGGGCGGAATTACACAATACAGGTTAGGAGGTTATTTAGGCACACCATAAAAATGGTATTACATATAGTTCAGGAATTTTGTTTTATTCAGTCACGCTACATGGATGGATTACTTTGCCAATAAGCGGCAGTCGCTTGGTCGGTATAGCTCGTTTCCAGATCGAAGCCACGGAGTTTAGTTTTATGTTACATGGATTATATTTCAGTATAGGAACTAGGGCTTAGTAGATACTCCACATACACAACATTACACACACACTGAGATATGTAATATAGAGCATAGAATAGAAATCCTCCATTTAGTTACAGGTCAGCTGATATATACTATTTCTTGCTTCTCACGACTAACCTGTTCCATCCACAGTATTATAATCTCCACCAAAGATGGTCAGATTGGGCCTGTTACCGATAGCAACTTGTGCCATATATGGCATCAGGTTGGTGAATGCCTTTGTGGGATCCTCGCCTATCAGGCCAGAAGGATGGGCCCCAACAGGATTGAAATACCTCAGACAGATAATGTTCCAGTTCTGAAAAATGAATGACCATATTTTAACATTGTATTGTGAATCATATGTAATGTAATGTAATGTATCTGTACTGATATAAAGCTCAATTTCCTTTCATACTATATTTCTTTCCAGTAGGTACCAACAGTGACACAATAGGTCTGAACTACAATCAAATGTACCACAAAGGTGCCAAAGCTAAGTTCACTGATGAACATGATATCCAGAAATCAAAGGGTATGAACAAAATATGATAATCCGAGCACAACAGCAGAATGACTTCCATGAAGTTGCCCATGGGACTACATCCACTGAAAACAGCATAATGACAAGGTTCTGCCCAAGAGTGGAATATGGCCATAACAATGATGATGATGATGAGTGGGATATATCCTTTCAGGCCAGACTGAAACAGGGAGTTAAGTTCCATCCCATTTTCAGCACAAGAGTGGGTTAAGTCCTAGTCACTCAGTTAAACCAAGAGCAAACTGAGTCTGCTGCATTCTCAACAAAACTGTATTATATGTGGGCAAATTAGTTAACTGAAAAGCAAACTGTCCAGCTATACATATCAGTGCAAGAGTAGGTTATGTCAGAAGCGTGTGCGTGGGTGGGGAATTTAGTCAAAAACTGGAACAAGTCTACTGATATTCTTTTGCAGCAACAGCAAACTAAGACCAACCCATGTTCTCAGTTCATGAGTGAACTGTGTCGTATGTGGAAAAATTCAGCATGTGTAGAGTGCTTATAAGAGAGGTGAATTCAGATGCAAAGTCAGTTCAGGACAGTTACGAGTGACTAATAGTGGCAGAAGCAAGGGGAGAGCGAACTGGAACTATGGGCACAGAAGGGTGCAAGAGGTCAGTCTGTGAAGACTTCACATGTGATTGGAAGACTTTATGTCTGCTATAGTGCAGTGGTATTGGGAGTGTGTGATTCTGGCAGACTTTTATAGTAGTTCCTGTGTTATAAAACCAGGAAGACTAGTGGAGATAGACTGAAAAGATTAGTGAGGAGTGATTGCAGATTGTGTAAATTAGCAAGTGTTATAACTAATTGAAGTTACAACCTGTAGGCTATTAATAAATCCAATTACCAATCCAAACCCGCATCTCAGTCACTGATAGATGTGACAGTATTATCATATATTTGCAGGTGTGCGTGACTTATAGATGCATTTTGGATTGGATGGTTGGATTTATTGACACCTTATACACTCAACTTGTAACTGCAGTTAATTATAGTGCTATGGCTGTTTGCACACTTTACAGTTCACTGTTACACAACACACTAGTGTCCTCGTCTTCACTAGATGTATCCTGGCAACAGATTCATAACAGTCTCACTGTAACTTCAAATCACAAATTAAGTGTTCTTTGCATTGCCTAATTCCTTTTTTGCCTTTATTCTGCTAACTGCCAACTCCAGAACTCCAGTAATTTCTCCACTTCAACTGTGAACTCCAGAACTCAACTCAATTCACTGTTGCAGAGAAGTGTTTACCACACCGCTGGGTAGCAACGCACAGCGAGGACCACAAAAACATTGCTCTTCTATTGTTGCATGTGCTCCCTTCTGCAGGAATGGGTTTACCGAGCCGTTGCCTAGCAATGAACTACTCCAGCTTTCAGGTGTCATGTCACAGTATAATATGCATATACATCAATTGTGTTCAAAGAACCAAACAATAATTATATCACACAGGATATGATGCTATAGTACTATATATATGTATGCATTACCATCTAATTGCGGCGTGCCTGAGTAATACCAACTAACTAGACTGCCTGAATAAACGCAACTCCCTGCAATATCTAAGTAACACCTGGAATGTGGCTGGCTGAAACCACTATTCCAGAGCTGTATCTGTGCAACAGCAAGCAAGTAGTGGGCCAGGCTAATACAATGTAACTGAAGCGCCTTAATAAGCATCTATTCCTGGACAATGCCTGAGTTATACCATCAAATTGGAGTCCCTGAATAAAACCCTATTCCTAATGGGTGCCTATGCTTGAAGAATCTATGTAACTGGAGTGCATGAATGAACTTTTGTCCCTAGAATGTGTTTGTTGCACCACGTAACTGGGGTGTATCAAGAAACCATTATTCACAGAGGGTGCATGACTGATACCATCTTGTTGGAGTGACTGAACAATATCTCTGGAGTGTGCCTCACTATATACCACCTAACAAGACAGACTGAATAAATCTCTATCCCTGGTCTGTGCCTGAGTAATACCATCTAAACATATTATTTATTATTACTCAGTCGACCACCTCAACAGACTTTGTGAATAAGCCAGTCTCCCTGGAGAGTGCATGAGCAAGAGCAATTAAGTGGAATGCCTCAATAAGCCAGTCTCCCTGGAGAGTGCATGAGCAAGAGCAATTAAGTGGAATGCCTCAATAAGCCAGTCTCCCTGGAGAGTGCATGAGCAAGAGCAATTAAGTGGAATGCCTCAATAAGCCAGTATCCCTGGAGAGTGCATGAGCAAGAGCAATTAAGTGGAATGCCTCAATAAGCCCCCAGCCTGTGGAACTGGTGCAAAATGCCATCCAGTTTTTTTGTTTGTATGAAACTGATAGCAATGAATACAGAACATAATACAGAACTGCCTACATGGAAAGGGCTGTATTACAACCTCTAACACTGGCATGAAGAAAATAATGTTGCATTTGGAATGTGCACAAAGTTGTGTCACTGTGTGGGTGGGTATTGCTGAGGTGATCTTTACCTTCTCTGCTGCAGATATGTCCTTGAGCATTTCTTCAATGAAGTACTTTGTTCGCCCATATACATTAGTTACATTGCCGGTATGATGTTCCTCTGTTATGGGAAGGACATCTGGATTACCATAGACTGTGCATGAGCTGGAGAAGACCAGCTGATAGCAGCCATGAGTTTTCATCACCTGTGAGATCAATAAACAAGATCAAAAAGCTGCATTGTCTTCAAGAGTGCACATAGTTTCTGCATGAATTATTTGCATCTTGAAATTATGAATTATAAATCAAATATATGTACATTAACAAAAGCTCTACAGTTTTTTATTTTGGTAACTTATTTACCATTGTTACTACAGGTATTTTGGTATCATATTTCTTAGTATTATTAAAATTAATATGCATCCTATAGTTACCACATTTTAGTAACTCCAGCAATGTCAGTCTCATCTCACAAGTTTTGTGTTACTACATTAATGTTAATGACCGTCGTATAGAATCAGCAAGCAGGAATTTGGGGTAGCCTCCGACTATGTAATGTTCATACAAGATTTTCTTAAAATCCATTAGGCAGTTCTCAAATTGAAACATACAGATGAAGAGAAATGATCAGAGGTTGAAAAACCCACATGCCTGCTTACCGAAGACAAGTAACTTTACCACCTGGCACACATATATTTAAAATAGTTGTTTTACCTAATTAGCCCCATTTGGTTCTCAAATGTCTTCAATTTTCACACTTTTGCTTTGATATTATTTCAGCAATTTTTTGCTGGACTTTCTTCAGAGCATAACACAAAACCTTTACAAACAATAACTGTGAAAAGCTGCAAGAGAAACTTCATACACTGAGTGATTCTATACATACATACCAACCCAGATTTTTTAAGTTTTTGTTAGCCAACTTTAATACACCACAGATAATCTTAGGTACTGGAAATGTCGTATGAAAAATATGTCACATCACATGCACAGTACAGATATACATAGACACATATTATATAGGGAAATCAAAAAGTTGTGCACATCAAATTAAAAGTTGTTATAAATTGTATTGCACTTAATATCATTATATCTCCTACTGCTAGATGGTACTGTAGATGTACTAACAACGAGCAGAAACGCCATCTGTCGTGTATCACTCATACGACTTCTGCAATATAGCTTTGTTTATTGCGTGACAGACATATTGTTTTCCCAAGAACAATGAGTTTTCATGGTGGAACATTATTTCGCGATGGAATTGAAGAGTTTGATTCGGATTTCTTCACTGACGAAGCGTGGTTTCACCTTAGTGGCTACGTGAACAGTCAAAACAATAGGATTTGGTCATATGAAGATCCACATGTGTTACATGAAAAGCCCTTGCACTGTCAGAAAATTGGAGTGTGGTGTGCTGTATCACGTTGTCAAATAGTGGGCCCAATTTTCTTTGAAACAATAGTGAACAGTCCAGTGTACCAAGACATCATTACACAGTTTATTGTGCTTCTTGAAGTTGATGAATGTGAGTGTTAGTTGCAGCAAGACGGTTCCTCATGTCACACATCTAATGAAACCATGCAGTTTTTGCAGGTGTTTGTTGGTGACCTTCTCATTTCGAAAGGATTGTGGCCCCCGCGTTCACCTGATTTGTCACCTGCAGATTTTTTCCTTTGGGGGTACCTCAAAGGAATTGTTTATAAAAACAATCCGCATACACTGGATGACCTCAAGAGGAACATTATGACAGCAATTAACAGCATCAGTTTACAGGTGCTCCACCAAGTGGCCTCAAACATGGTAAAAAAGAGCTCGCGCATATATTGCTGAACAGGGAAGCCATTTCTAGCATATGTTGTAAAGATATGATTTGATTTTGCATTTCTAAGATGTAAGGTTATAAACATTAATAGTAAGTGCTGTATGTCTTGTAGTTTGTGCATTAAACCAGCAAAATATAATTCCTTAGTGTGATGTGCGCGACTTCTCGATCTCCCTGTATATTTATACAAAAACTGGTTAATTTCTAAACACAGAAACTTTCAACCTTAAATTTAGTATTTTATAGTGTGGTCTTCTCCAGTAAGTTGTGCTACTGCATATATTCTACTATGTGAATACAAACATTACAGAGGAACACATTGCCTCCAACTTCTACCCTGAAGATAACAGCAACATGTTCCTCAGAAATAATAGTACCCACCTACCAGACTACACACTGGTATAACCCACAAGAACACATTATTAATCTTCTCCTCTGTGGAAACTTCAAATCTTAGCGTTCTGTAGATCTGTCTGCAGAAATTTAGAAGATTCAGTTTGCTGCTATATGCACATCAGTCTCAAAAGAACAATCACCTATTCCTTGAATGAACCACTGTAAACTCAACAGTGACATTCTGTAAGTGTGAACTCTTAACAACTGCCACAAAACTCTTCTCCTCTCACGACAGAAGTAGGTTCGTACCACTACATGGTACCATATCCCAGAAAGCAGCAATGTCCACATTCACCACTGTGACAATCACAAATCTTAGACATCTACCATATTTAACAACACCATCAGTATCTCAAATTGTGTATTGCTGAATGACAGGATGGTAATGAATTGCAAAAGCTCTGGAAAGAACCAATTAGGACATAATTTGAGGTTCTACCTTGACACTGCCTGGAGGGACTGTGTAAAATCACATAAAACCTCATGCTAGACAATTAGAAGCCAGAAGCATTATTGCTTGAGCCATCTAACTATTAGAGATTTTAAAATGAGTAAAATGTAAAGGTAAAGCTTCTCTTGCGCCCCAGGGCATCTCAAATCATTTAGAAGCTTGTGTAACTCAAAACCCTTTGTTGTGTTGATGCCTCAGTTGTGTTCTGAACCTAGTCCACCGCTGGACAATTTACTGACTTACCTCCAACAGATTGATTGTTCCCACAATGTTATTCTTGTAATACAAAAGGGGAACTTGCATTGACTCCCCCACAGCTTTCATTGCTGCAAAGTGGATAACACAATCAATCTTGTGCTGAAACAAACAAAAGCAGCTGGAAAAAAGATATGGTTTTGAATGCTTATGAAATGTGGTCTCTTTCTTTCTGAGCAAAAAACATAAATTTCTAATATATGGTACTACAGAAAGAGGAGCTGTTATTAACTAATTTCATGGAGTACAGCCTTTCTTCAGAAGCTGACAGCCATTCCGCGAGTCAAGAAATTTCCCTCATATTATGGATCTGGAAGGTTTATTATGAAGTTCACAACAGCCTGTCACTGCTCACCAAATTCATTAATTCCATAGGCCCTTAAACTCGTTTATCTTCTTGGAAGTGACATTGTGCTGTCTGACAGACACAGACCAAAGTTTGGGAAGAACGTAAGTAACCTTCTCTATGTGACAAGGTGATGCCTCATCCAAACTCTTCATAATCACCACCGTGAGAACTTCTAGAATGCCAAATTACGTGTTCATAATTCATTTTAATATTAATCTGGTATCTACCCCTCCCTAGGGTCTCTTCTCTTCAGATTTCCTGACCAAAACCTTGGACACATCTCATCCCCCCACCATATATGTCACATGGCCCACCTACTTCATCCTCTTTAATATTTAATTGTTTATAACTGACTAACTAACTAACTCCATGGGGCTGAGCCCTTGTTGGAAAGCACCCAGTTGTGCGGCTATACAAGAACTTTCCAACATAACATTTTATGGAGCCCATAGGTTCATTACCATGTTCAAATGAGCCAGACCAATCCAGTTCACAACACCCCATCCTATCTCTCTGAGATCCATCTTAACATTATGCTCCCACCTGTGTCCTTGTCTTCCTAGTGGTCTCTTTCATTCTGGCTTTCCTACCAATATCCTATATGCATTCGTCTTCTCCCAATTCGTGCTACATGCCCTGCCCATCTCATCCTCCTTGACTTTATCATTCTAATTATACTTGGCAAGGAGCACATGTTATGAAGCTCCTCATTATGCAGTTTTCTCCAACTCAGTTATCCAATAAATCCATATAAATCTCACACCCTTTGTTAAATTTTGTAACAAGCTTTTTTTTATAGTGAGGAGTTGCTAGCCACACATCCAACCCCCTAGCTGGAGGACCACCCTCTGTCAGTTGTCCACAACTGTTTATTAAATATATTCTCAGCTACCCGCCATTTCTGGAGGCTGTCTCCTCCATCCGCAACCTGAGAATGTGCCAAACTGTGGAGACAAGGGACCTATGTAACATGGATGTAACTTATTGTTATTAGTGAACTGAAGAAAATTAACATAGTCTGGGATGTAATTTAAATGATGAAAACAAGAAATGATTAAGGAATATGGTGGAGAAACTTCTTGAAAAGCAATCATATGAAAGACCAAGGAGTAGAACTGGACCTTGTAGAAACACGTTATGAGACTGGATACTAGACTCACTTGGATCAATACTGGATCACGGTTTTGTGCGTCAAGAATTGGTCACTCAACGAGAACAAGAACACACTGCACAATACAAAGTTTTCATATCACAGAGTACTGGACTATACTTTTCTTCTCACAGACATGTGCTCTCAAGCAATCTGCATACCTCCTACTGTGTCAACTTACTTCGCTGAATATCTTTTCAAGGCGTGGTTTGTCAAGCAGGTCACACTGATAAAACGTGACAGTTTTGCCAGTGATGCGCTCCACTCGCTTCAGACTTGGTGCCTCCCCTCGTTCACCGTTCACAGAGTTGGCAAAGTTATCGACAGCAATAACACTGTATCCTGCATCCAACAGCTCAACAATGCAGTGACTGCCAATGTAGCCTGCACCGCCTGTCACAAACACTGTGCTCCAGCTCGACATGATGTTACCTGCAATGTGGTCACAGCATTTAAAATTCTCTTGTGCCACCATTTGGCAGCATCACGGTGAGGACACAATTGAGGAGAAGTTGTGGGAGATTCATGGGTTTTATTCACCATCTGATATTTCCAGTGATATAGCATGCAAGTGGTTTTTACAGTGGTGACTCCTAATGTTATGGTAATTTGGGATGACACCATGTAGTTTCACAGATGTGTACAAGTGTTTTGTGGTAAGCCAATACTGCCTCCACCTTCAAGGTAGGTCACCCTGAAGATGGAGGCAGCAGGTGCTGTAATGCTGCATGATAGTAACCACTGTTTAAGGGATACATACTTCATCTTCAGGGTAGGTACACTGTCACATCCCAGAATACTGAAAGTTCAGTCCTCACCACCATAAAAATATAAAATCCTGATGTTGATGTCAGATCAGGTGGAAATGCAGCAGTACAACCCGTCAGAACTACAACTGTATTCCTTCTCACTTTACATTATAATGCATGCCCAAAAGCACAGTTCTGAAAGGGCTACTGAATCTACCCATTTCCTTGGCCTGGAGCTTACAAAGGTACGACACACTAACGCATATATCTTACAGAACATATACTTCTGAATTCAAGCAAAACATCAGAGATTTTATTATATGGAAATGAGAAACAGCTGTAAAGCAAAGTTATCCCTGTGCCCAACCATGGCATAAACACGTATGCAGATGTGGAGGTACAGCTCCACCACTCTTAACCTCGGCAACAGACAGATGTTAGTGCTCAGCTTCATGCCGGCAAAACGGCCCCCCGTTGCCTCCTGAATGACGTCAGAGCCGGCCAGGCCGCCGATGCAAAGAGAACAATATCTCGCTCCTGTCGGGAATCGAACCCGGATTCCTCGGTCACCCAGTCCGTAGCGTAGTCGCTATATCGGCTCCAAGGAAACATTTGCCTTCTTTAGATTCCTTCCGTTTTAACGGTCTAGCCGAACCACGGCATTCTCAACTCAGTGTTAACGTGATTCTTAAACTGATCTGGCGGGACTGTACCATTCAGGGGCACTGCCCTTGGCTCGGGAGGAATGACCTTGAAAGTCCTTCACAAACTGCCCTCTGGCCAGGATGCAATCCCGTCGCTATAAGTGGACACGGATCCAATTGTTTCGTTCTTCCAACTGCCCAGCCTGAGTGCGACCATCTAACTGCTTACGAGACGGCCACTATGGAAAACGAAAGTATACATTCCGATTATCACCTGTCATCAAAATACACAGCGCAACCTGTGATTCGTGACTTCACTCGCAACAGATCCTTTACGTAATGCCTCCTCTGTAGCAACCTGAGGATGACGCAGTTGTCATCACTTTCTCAGGTGCTCATCTGTTGAGTCAACTTTACGCCCATGTGCTAATATTAAAAATGAAGCAAGAGGGACAACCAGACCTATAAATCACTCTTACTCACCAGGCACACGTCAAGCAGAAAACCTGAAGGGCAACATATCAATACGCGGAACAAACGACAACACACGAAAGCGCTGGACTTACCGTGTTGGAGATCTGCAACACACTAGAACTGCCTGGCAGCTGGAAAACCACTGGCAGTGGACAATCCTGGAGAGGGCCGTCGTCGTCTGCTTGCTCCCACTCAAGCACATCAGCCGGCTATGTTGCCATATTGTATTTTCACATAAATACAGAGTGAAACGTCAGGTGCCATGTGATGGTGCATATGGCACCCTCGGGGATTCGGAACGCCACAAAGCACAGTGGTCCAGTAGCATACTCGTATCGTTTACCCCTCTCCAGCCGAGACTGTAACCCCTTCTTCCGTTCACCTGTAAAGCCCGTAAATATACCCGTTCGGGGGTTTATGCAGGCTATTGTAAAGCATCACAAGTACAATCTTCTGGAATGCTAAGCAGTATAGCTTGGTAGATGGACTTCATACCATTTCTTTCAACCCGGAACCACCCAGTCGGATTGTTCCAGTATTTCTGCGTTTAAGACACGCCCAATTCTGGGCCTACCAGATGAATAACTCATCCCAAACTCATATTTGCCCAATGTCCTTCCTGCTGATACGGTGCTATGCATAATATTCAGTTATCCAAGGACAGCACATGGCACAAACATCCCACAACAGTCGGACCATAAACTTTACTCTTTGCTATCCTTACCCAATTCCAAAAATGTTGTTCGCCAAACAGCATCTGTTTCTCCCTATCCTTAATGAATTCCCCACATTCCAGTCCCAGACTAGACTACCATTTTGGGGGATTCTCTAACGACACTCTCAATGTCTAGACCACATAGCGTCGAATGGTAGAATAATTAATTGGGACGGATTCAGAAGGAAGTGGTCATGGTCTAATCGAGGTACTATCCCAACACCTGTCTGGAGGAACTAAGGAAACCCACAAGAAAACGTCACGATATCCGCTGTCCCGACCGCCATTCGAACCGACTACCTCCCGAATACGGGCCCAGAGCGTTACGATGTGTCAAATCGCTTGGTCCGTAGCATTCGGTATACATTTTCTATAGCAGCCTTTAGTTTCATACGAGGAGTTCTGGATCAGCATTTATCGGTGCATGATTTTGTCACATGACGTCAGAAGATGCTTTACACTGCACACTACATTAGGATGGCTTGAGACATATAATCTCACTACATTCGTAAGACACGGGAAGCTTGAAAATTATTGGTCTGTTCTGGGGCAACAAGGCGAGAAGCACGACTCGGACACAAGGCACCTGTGTGAAAAGGTCCTTCAGCGACAATTAGTGAAAGCGAAAGCAACTCTACTATGCGATCCCACGGAGGACGTACGTGAATACGATGACAGAACTTCAAGGTTCCGCAAAAAGACTATCTTGACTACTCCTTAAAGCACACCGATAAACATACAGTGTGTTTTCACATTATAAAACCGTGAATTTTTAGGCACACTATATTTGTTTTTCTCATAACAGCGATTATTTACTTAAACAGATTAACTCTTTGGCCTTTGTAATGGAGACGCAGTGTTTCCTGTAAGGTACAAACTAAATTTCTAATTATTTAATTTAACTTCACGCCTCACATGGCAATTGCCTGCCGCTGGACTGAGTAAGGTGTGTGTTCCTCGGTCCCTTCTGACAAATGTCTGCATATTACCTTAAATGAAGCCACGACTGATCCTTACAAATTTTCAATTCATTATTCACCTAGAAATCATCCCACCAGACTTGCTTTGATTCATTTAACGCCGCTGTCGGCGTCGAATAATAAACTGGGAAGGAAGAGATCGTGGTTTGACTTGAGGCAATCTTCCGGTATTTGCCTGGAGGGTAGTGTGAACGTTACGGACTGGATGTTCCAACCTCGCACTCTCGGTGAGGTGGGGCCAACACTACGAGTATATAGGATTCTCAAATATTGTGCGGTGTATAACAGAATCACGTGCAACTTATTTTACAATAACATCTCTGTAGACTGTAAAAAAGAGACGCCGTGTAAATGTTTCATTTGGCTTTCATACTGACAGCGGAAATGAAACGTCTGCAGCACATTAAATTTTATATGAAACTTGATTATAAATATCCATGTATTATGTATAAAATGTTACAAAGTCACGAATTATAAATATGGCGACGATGTAAACCTTGCAATTACATCCGATAAATTTGTCGCTGGGCTATGCAACGTATAAACTACAGAATTTGTACCTAATAACATTCCACTCAAAAAGAAAATGCCAATTTATAACAAGAAGATATAACATAGTTACAATAGCAATGAATGAAAGACTGCATATGGACGCAGCACACCAAACAACAGTGGCAGTAGTAGCTAGACTTTACAGCGGTCATAAAAGTGTTGTCTGTGATTCTTATCTTCCTATAAATGTTCTGAGGAGCAAATATTAGATTCAAATATTCTCAGTATTTTACAAAATACGTTTATTCGGAACTCGAAACTGAGTGCGGGTAACTAAGCCAGTTACAATGGCGACATGACTGTGTGAACGGACGGGGTCCTTTTGGTGTGTTGCTAGAGGGCCGCGATCTAGAAGAGTTTGAGAACCACTGCGTTACAGGATATACTGGCGACAAACAGTAACAATGCCTCCGTAAGCACTGCCAACTTGAAAAGATGCCCCATTACGCACATTAAAAACCGGCAACATCAAGAAGCGTAAACATGCCACGGTACACGGAACCTGTGCGGCTGGCTGACACGTCAGATATCAATGGGCCAAGCCGCCTGTGATCGCCTTAACTCAGCCTACGTCATGTCCAGTGGCCGGACAGTGAATACTGAGCTGTGAGGAGTTCGGAAGTGGCTATGGCGTTATTCAGAGTACTTTTCCGGCAATTGCTGGCAGGGGCTGAGTAAAATCACTTTCTAGGATGTTAACAATTTTGATTTCTTAAAAGCATTACACCACGGTTAAAACAAAATATAAATTGTTGTGGCCTACGAAATCAGCACTGAAACACTCACGGACTAAATACTCTCTTAAATTTTTTCTTTCAAATTTTGTACTGACCAGAATTTGTTCTTACATACAAGAGTCATAACCCTTCAAAAATCCTCCCTTCATCAACAAAAATCTGTTGTAATTGGTAACGTAACAGAGATGCATAACAATTTTCCATTCCAAAATTCTCCCCATTGATAATACTGGTGAGGGGGGAGGGGGGGGGAAATATTAGATGTCAGTACAGCAAAATTTAAAATCTCAAACAGCCATATACAACTTTTGTAAAACTCATTCTGTTTAAAATGGCAAAAAAAGGGGGGGGGGATGAATCTGGTTTTTGGGTACTTTTAAATTTGGTGTAAATAATGACATTTTTCTGTGCATTTAGAAGTCTCAACATGATGGCTAAAAAAAAACCATACATATATACAAGGAAACTTCTATCCATTTAATATACTTGTATGTCAAGCCAAAGGAGCACCTTACAATTAAAAATTAAAAGAATTCTTGTCAGAAATCATGCAAAAAGCACATGTGGCAGAGTTTCGGCATTTATTTATATTGTCACGTGTTTGGGTGACTCTCGATGGGGTTCTGGATTGGATTTATTGACCAATTTTACACACAACTCATAACTACACTTAATTATAGTGCCATTGCTGATCTCTGCACTTTACACGTCACTAGAGAACACACTCTAATGTTCCTAGTCCGTTACAGCCTCCACTAGTCGTTTCCTGGTAACGGCTTCTAACAATGGCCATTCCTCTGCTTTCAGGCTCAAGTCCTCTCTGAATGGCGGTTCAGTTTTATTTCACTCCCACTTCTCACACTGTGCCCATTTCTTTCATACCTATTTCTATTCTTAAGAGGTCTGGTGAAGGTAAAAGTTGTTCCTGTGCTTAATTAGTTAAGCACTATGCTATGAAGACACATGGGAGACTGCAGGTATAGCTTGACGCTGATCATTCTGAGCCCTTATTTATTTGGATGATTATAGATGACCATGAAATTTATTTCTAATTAATTCTCAGTAATTTTAATTTCAAAAGTCTTATGTTTCGATATTACTGGAAATGTATGATCTTTAATATCGTATTTCATTGTCTGGGACTTGCAATACGGTGTTTATGTTGAAATTTCTAGATTCTGGCAGGACCAAGAAGTCCGGAGTTATGACATTTACGATCAGTCATAAATTTAGCTCGGGTACAGGGAACCGGAAGCGCCTAAAAGGACAGGTCAGAGCTTGTTACAATTGCCTGTGAATGAGGGCCAGTATGATTGGGTTGCCTCGTTCAAGCTTCCTACAGAAGATGGGATGAAAATGTATATGTCAACACCATCTTTCGAATTCCCGGCGTGGGGGTGCAAGCCATTCCACAAAGGGAGAGACTTTCACAATATTCCGAACTGAACGGACGTGACCCTTGCACGCTCCGAGACATAGCTTGCCGATAGGGTAACGCTGTAACTTAAAGCTAAGAATACATTAAATTAACAGTGTGGTGAATTAGCAGGTGAATAAACATCAATTGGGTCAACTCTCAGAAAAACGCTTTCTTCGGCATCGGTACCCTGAGACTCATGCAAACCGACCCAGCTAGTTTCCCGTACCTATACCGATCTTCCTTAGTTTGATCTGTGAGGACAACTTCCAGTAGCCATCATACACTGTCCTAAGGTAGAGACAGGTGTAGCAGGGATAGCACCATTCTGACCGCGCTGATACAAAGGCGGGTTGGAAAAGAGCGGTGTTAAGCTCCACCTTTCTTGACCTCAGCATCATATATAGGTGAGTGGTCAGCTTCAACAGCCTGCTGCTTAACCCCTGGGAAAAGATCCCCCAATACCCATTGGATAAGAGGCAGTGAGAGTTGATCTGGACTCTGTTGAGAAGGGAAAAATCTTGCACAGCTGGGAATCGATCCCGGGCGTCCAGCCCATAGCCCATCATTATCCAGCGCCCTTGGTGAACTGGTAACATCTTATAATACCACTAAGAAAAGATGGAATATCTGCTGACTGATGTAACTGAACTGCAGAGCCATAGCATTCAACGCAAGAGGAAATTAAGTCATGGGGACGATCTTTTAGCGCAATATTAGACCAAGTCCAATAGAAGTTTCCTGCAAAGCAAGCTAACGCCAGTTGTATTCTGTGTAAGACTGGACTACGTACCCCAAACTGGCTTAGAGGAAAAACAGACTAAATCCAACTGCATCATTGGCACAAGAGTGGATTAAGTCCAGGGTGGCGATTTTGCTCTGGCAGTAGCAAAAATCCAGCCTGCAAGAGTGGGCTATGTTTGGCTTGAGTTTTCTGCAAGGATATACAAATGTGCAGCTCCAGTCTTTTACTACATGTCCTTTATGGGATAGGGGGTAACTATATCCAACTGCAAATTCACTGTAACAGTGGCTGCAAGATGAGACTAAGCCAATTCAGTTCTACCTCAAACAGTGAACTAAAACCACTGATCCTTGGGCAATGGTGATTACTTGAATTATTCTGGTCAAAATTATAGCATGTGTATTAACACCCAAAAGATGTGAACTTCTGTCAGTCAATACCAAGCAAATACATAATTTTCATTCAATCAGAAGTTGCTGCTGGAACCGGTGGAATTCTCTGATTTAAAATAAACTGAAGTAAAATGTAACTGGAGATACCATCATTCAGGTAAAGCAGCTGCGGACAAAGAATTGTGGATGCAAAGAAAGATGACGTAAAACAAACGGGACAAAAATCTGGCTGAGAAAACAAAAGGGGGACAAATTATCTGTGGACCCCAAGCCTCGGAAATGCAACTTACTATAATCGTTCCTGAATTGCTAACTGCATCTGCAGAGTACAAATTCTTGTTGCATCCTGTACTTACGAATTCCATCTTCCTCTGCAACTTGATGCGAGTGAATCCATCCATTTTCTGTGACACAATGACACATTCTCTGTATTGCTGAATCAATCTATGGCAACATTTTAAGTTCCCTACAGGCAAGGATGAGGAAACACCATGTCTGTCCAAACAAAAGACAGTTACACATTGTGTATATGGATTTGAAGCATTTCATATAAATATGAACTATCCAGTAGTATTGTGGAAGAAACTTTCAACATTTCAGAAGAAATGGCTGTTTCTGACTTCAGAGCAGGAGCCAGCGCAAAGGATCACATTCCTATGAATCATTAAAAGTTTCTTCTAAAACAGCATGGTGTTACAAACCAACAGACACAAGATAACCTTGATGAGCATTAACATGCACTGCCATGATAATGCACAAATGGCTAAATCAATAGGTGAAACAGGCCACCAGATTTAACATAACATCCACTAACTTAAAAGAACAGCAAGAAGATAGAAGTACTGAACTGGCTGCAATACTGCATAACTTGGCACAGTGAATAACACTTGTGGTGAGATTCAGAACTATCAAACATAACTTCACGTCTACTTCCTGTGTGTACTCACTTCCACAACCAACACAAAACTGACTTCTTTTAGTTAATTATCACGTCTTAGAGTAGAGTGCTGCAGGGCCAAACCAGGCACGTCATTACAACAGTAAAAACAAAATTTTAAATGAAGAAGAAATACAATGTTACAATATTGAGAAACATACAAAATTTCAATTTCAATTGTACTTCCCAGATTTAAAAGAAACACATTCATGTGTTTCAGTTATCATATGGTACAGGATGCACCTTTTTCTTCACTGTGTTCTTCAGTGTATTGGATCCTACCACCATCGTTCCAGATTGGTCCAACCGTTTGTCGGGTTATACCCACCTAGCAACAAAACAAGAAACATTTTCAAAACATCAGGAAACAGACTGTTGCTACAGAGCTGACAAATATCAAAAACAACCAAAGAGCGAATCCAAAAATACTCAAAAGTGAGAAAGTTTGGCTTAAGAAATAACAGATTTAACTAATCTCTGAAGCCTGACCATGAGAGCCCTTAACCTTACCATGCTCATTCCTTAACACTATTTGCAGTTAAGTGCAGTTCTACTCTCACACTGCAGCAAAACTATTTGCCAGCCAGAAAAAAATGTGTTCTTTCCATAACAAACACTGAAAACACAAGCATTTAAACCAACTAAAATTACTCTTTCTTCTACATCTGCACAGATTCTCTTCTTACAGTCCATTCTGGTGCAGCTGCCCTCTCTCTGGTAAAGTTTAGCTTGTCAGGGCCTTTCTCCTTATCATGTCCCAGGCTTCACCTGACCACTTTCATTCTGTGCACCCCCCCCCCACACACATTAAATACAATGTGCAGTTTTCCCAGCATGGCTCATATCTATCCTTAACATGGAGCCATAAACCAGGAGCTCATAAGATGGATATGCAGTCAAAGTCCTTGGCAACAGACAGTGAAAATTTACTGTGAGCTTACAACTGTTGGCTTATCTAACTATGATGCACAACATACAGACAGTACATATTGATTTGTATACTAGTTGTGCCATAGCCCGTGAGACATCCCAAGAAAGAAATACCTGCACAGTATTAATCATTTTCTCTTATGCTGATAGAACTCACCCTGTGAGGCAGATAATTAGCTGTGTGTATTCTGTCACTAACAACAGACTTCACAGAACTGCATTCTGCACCAATTCTTTGTAAGCAGACATACCTGTTCTTCACCCAGGATATGGTTACCTTCCTTGTCAATGTAACAATACACAGCAGCTAAAACTTTAAAGAAGGAATTACACTTACTCAGGTAATTAGAAGGAATTCTGGAAATGAAGATTCAAATCACATCCAAAAATTCTACCACAATACATGCACACTCTTCTAACATCTGTGGTTATAAATGAAATAGTATAGACTATTCAATAATATTTTTGGGCGGTCTCTATTGAGCCATGGTAGAAAATAGGATACAGAAGGGTGTCATTTTTATATAAATTACATTTGTAGGTTAAGTAACAGTGGTGTATCACCTCCACAACTCATGACACCAAAACAGAGGCTTGATAATAGGAAAAGGATAAAGAAGGAAGTTGCCAGGGCTTAACTCAAGGTTTTGCTTTGATACTTGCCAAGAAACAATGAAAACCTCAGTCAAAATGACCACTGCCTCAGTTAAGTGAATCCACTGGTCACATAACCTGCCCTGGAAACACTTTAAGGGACTTCAGTCCATATCATACTCTTCCCTTGATCCACTTACGTATCTTGGTTTCTGCTTCATGGCGTGATCTTGCAAAAACAGGCGAGGAAAACACTCTTGACCATCAACACATGGAAATATGCACAACACATAATGTTACTGTTGGATATCCATTTACAACCACAGCCAAGACCAACTTTTTAAAACCAAAAGATTTGCATCCAGAAATAACCATGCTCTGTGGGGCCTACAGATCAGTACCACAGTAGTCCTACTATTAGCAAGTGATGGGGAACTTCTGTACCACATCCTGAATACCACACTCAAAAAAGGAGGGCATAACTCACTAGTACATAAAACTAATTTCTTTCATATGAACAGATACAGATCAGAAAGCAGTTGGTCAGACTCATTTCACATCTTTTTAATGAGAGAACACTGCCTTCTCTCACTTCACACACCCATACAACTTAGCCTGTTGTAGATATACTGCACTCTCTGTACTCACTGTTTCATAGTTGTAACACTGCACAGATCATTAAAACATTCTTGTCATACATACAAATACCTGGCAGAAGTGCTACCACAATTACAGAAATATCTGTCAGAACTCAAGGGTTTGGTGCAGAAAGGGAATAATTAAATTAAATTGTAAAGATAGTTATGTTACAATTTGATGTTCTGATGTTTTAGTATAGAAATAGTGTTAGTTGAACCATCTAGTGCATCTGCAAAAGAAATTTTAACACATAACAAAAGTGCTTTCCAGATCATAAAAATAAGAGTTAGATGCTGTCTGCATGAAACCATTTGAGAACTGGCACAAATGAATATATATCAATCTTTCTTATCTGTTCCTCTATTTAAGGGAAAGGATAAATATTGACAACATATTAAATGGTAATATTACATTCAAAAGAAAGGTTAACTGCCATTTTTCCACACATATGAAAGAGATTCTCAACACATTCTCAAAATATCACTGCCATGAAGAAAGAATGATCACAACACAATGTCAGTAACTAAGCCAATAATGGCAACAGAGATATGGGAAACCTTCAGTTTTCTGGCGCAACACAGCTGACATATACATACTAAACTGTACCACATATTCTGTGATGTCACCCCCTCCATGATTGGTACTCTCTGATCATGCACACAGTGTTCTACTTTCCATCAACACACACAAACACCCATTCAGACATTGACTCTTATCACAATGACTGATCAACAGATCTATAAACTTCCTAACAGCAGCACTCAACACTGCTAATACCGAAATCTGCCATTACACACGATTCAAAACCATTTCCACAGACTTTTACAGCCTACTTCCTCAGCACAGTGGAACCCACCACTTGAAGTTAAATTTTTCGTTTTTCCTAATTTAATGCTCAAATTTAATGAACCAAAAGTGAATATAGTCAATGTTAAATTCTCTCTGTTTGAAGTTTTCCTCAATTGAACGTTCAAATATACTGCCCCCCAAAAAACCTTAAATGGGGGTTTCCCCATATATGTTTTAATATTATCCTCCTCCTCTTCCTCGATCTTCTAAAGAGGCCAATTTCCAAAAGATCCCCCTATCAAAATTATGTCTGCATTTCTTTCTTCCCCCATTCAACATATGTCTACATCACAGTAACCTCCTGGATTTCGTAACCCTACCAACACTAGGTGGCCATATAAACAGTGAATTATCATACTGAGCCTTACATTAAGGTTCCAGAACTCATTTAAAAAACAAAAACTCACAAGATCAACATTACTCTAGGACCATAAGGCATGGAGGAAAGAAAATTAATATCTGAAAAGTGTTTAATGAGATGAATAGGTTATACCCTTTTTGACAATAAAATGTAAAAAATTATTATAGAATTGAAAATTTCACATATAACAGATGTTTTCTGAACAGTACAAGAAAACCTGGAAATGAAATGTTGAAAGAAAGAGCTTTGATAGGATACCTCACTCCTGAAAGTCACAAGAAGGCTACATGAGAGCTACAAACAAGAAGTTCTGCATGCTGACATTTTATAAACCACAATTACAGATTTGTACATCATTATGCACATGTTCAATATTACCACTAGGGAACCAATAGTAACATCTGGAGTTATGTAAAATTCTGCAAAATGGTCAGACTTACATACGAACATAAAGAACAATGAACAACATGCTTTAAGATGTTCCTCAATCAACCTCTTATGACAAGATGAATGTGCTGATGTTTAACATTTATTATCTTAGAACAGGGATTTTAAATCACCCACTACCATTTGGCTGGTGATAATATTGCAACTTGGGGGTACTAACAAAATGCAACACTTGGACAGCTTAAATGTGTACATGCACCACTGCAGTAATTGCATGTCTAGTCAGTGCAGCTTAATTATTGATGAGTCATAGGTCCAACATACATTTCAACTAAACCATGTATGATCATGGGCCCTGGCGTTTGATGTGTAGCAGGGACATCAAGAAATCACACTTATAAAGAAGTAAGTTCAGTGGCCTTTATATCCAGATGGGGGCACTTAACAGAAAACAGGCATACAAAATTCTTCAGTTTAATTATATCTGTCTACAGGCAAACCAGTTTCCACACTATTCACCATCATAGTCGACTAAGCAACAAATGATAAGTTATGTAAACACAGTACTGAAGATGGTGAAGTCAAAAGACATCATCAGATGAAAGAGATGCGTAACTCTCAGGGATAATGAACAGAGATAAGCAAAAGAGCGAAGTCTAAAAGGTACAGTTTGGACATTTTACAAGAGAGATTTCATAGGAATGAACATCAAGAGCAGCAATTTAGTTGTGCACTGTGCAATATCTGCAGACTGGTTCCAGGGATGCCCTGTAACTTTCAGGAGGTGACCCAACAATAAACCTTGGGTCAAGTCAGTCACAGTTTACCCAAGTACTTGTCATATTGAAAATGGAAGTACTGTTGTTGGCAATACTGTAAACACACATAAACTGCAACACCCAGCCTCTCACAGGTTCATGTGATCATACTGACCACACACTGCCACTTACTACTAAGGCAGAGATTACATGGAATGCAAAAACTGAGGTTTGGTAGTTGGCCAACGTATGCTGTGTTCAGTGTACCATCGGCACTCATCACTGCTCACCGACCTACAACGGATAGTCATGATTCATCCTCTGGACACACTATAAAGCCCTGAATCAGAGCTACTATCACATGTTACAAACAAACAGTTGGCAACAATGATTAAAACCATCTAAATGAACCTTCAAGATTCACAAAACCAAATCAGTATGATTTTGTCAACTAAAATATAATTTTCCACTATAAACAATTTACATAAATAATATGCAACTTTAAGAATTTTATTATTCACCAGATTTCAACAACTGCAACCAACAGGAACAAGGAACTGACTTTGTATTAAGCTTCCCTGCAGAGATAGGCCGTGTATTTCCAGCAATATTTATGAACTCAAAGTCTTTCAATTTGAGATAAATCACTCAGAAATCTCATCAATTTTTATACCAAGATGGTATACAAAGAAAATGGTTCCAAAAACAGGAGCTGTTAAAAAGAACTGCATGTAAAACATACAAGTGATGTTCCTACTTACAGTCCTCAGTCTGTAGCCATGCCAAAACACACAATGACACAACATCTATATATAGCTATCAGAAATAATAATAAATATCAGTCAAAGTTCTCATTAGATAGTACCTAGTTTTTACATCCCTGAAAAATAAATATTCAGCCAAATTCATGAATAAATCTTGAGAGCTATGCTTAAAATTGAATTCTACATCATCAGCCTTGAGAGTATTATTACTGCATAACAGTAGTTTACAATCAACCCTCCTTATCACACAATGTTAAAAAATAGCTATTCCTATCAAAATGAACTCATATATAATTCTCATAAATATGTCACAATCCATTTCATAAAAAGTTACAAATGGATGGAGAATAGAAAATGATGATATGGTCTTTCCATACAAAGATTTCCACAGGAAGAGTTCATGAGCAGGATATATACTAATCCTATGTGATCATCACACTGGGCAGTCTCTGCTGCAAGCTTCCATTAGTTCCTAACAACTCCTCATCAGCAGACAGCAGGACGTCAGACTCCGAGTCATCTCGCTTTTCCCTCTTGATTTTCCGATACCGAACTTTGACCCTCTGTAAAAGGCTTGGATCGACAGGATGACCCCTCCGACTGCTACGTCTCATAAGGAAGTTGTCAGTGACCCAGAACATGAGTGCCTGGCAAAGGGAAGAGAAGTGATCTGTTTCTTCACGTGATTATTTTATTTAGTAATGTGTATTGTAATTATAAATTAAGCCTACATCTTCTGGGATGTGAGGCTATGCAGGCTCACAGAATAGTACAAACATTTCAGGGAAACATGCTGCTTCCATCTTCATGACAAGAGTAGCCAGGCATCTACACTGAAGGTGGAAGCAGCAGATCTCTCCAATATACCTGGCAATGTCAGACCATATGTCATGAGAGCCAGAAGGCCACAGGTTTGACAATCCCAAATCCATACACAGAATGCATCAGTAGGACAGCGTGAAAACAAAAAGGTTGTGATACAAGGAACAAGCAGTAAAGTTACACATTTTCTGTAAAGTGGTCAGTCAAACAACGTGCACCAATTGGGTGGCCAAGGTCCAAGTTATGACCACTCAAACAACTGCCCATATATAAAATTCTGTGTGTCTGTGTGTGTAAAGCTGCCCCTGTGCTTAATTCATTAAGTACCATACCCCAAAGATGTATGGGAAAAAGGAGGTATAGTTCCACTGTTCTTGATCTCAGCACTACATGGAGGTGAGTGGTCAGCTTCACGCCCCAGCAGCTTTATCCCCAGAGAAACGGCTCCTGGTACCCATGGCAGAGGAGGCTGGGTGGGTCCAAAGCCAGTCTGGATGTTGTGGAGTACAGAAAAACCACTTATCCCTGCCAAGAATTGAACCCCAGCCATCCAGCCTGCCACTCCTGTTTAGTTCCCTAATACTGAAAGCAGCAGAAATCACACACCCCACAATACTTACAATGTTACAATAAAAACTACTTCTTTCGACCCTGAATATCACCATTTTGCTGTTGGTGTCTCTACTGATGACAAAAATTTCCAGTTCTGCAGATGTCTACTACAGAGAATGTCAACAACAGCATAACTATGCCTCAAAACGTAATGGACAGAAATGTACGAACATCAAGATGATTTCTGAACTCAAACTATGCCTTTAATTGGATTCAGACTTTGAGTTTTCTTACATCTCAATCAGACACTTGTCAGTTTACCCATAATGTCACTTCAGATTTGATAGCCACCTTTTGAAAAGCAGCTAATACAAGAAAGTTGTACCACTTATCCTTTATCTTCCGAGTTCTAAACTTTCGGAATGCAACAGTTTTCAGCAGTTAGATACTACTGTTTTTTTTTTATTGCTAGTGGTGTGGGAGTAAGTCCCTTGTACTGTGGCTACTTCTGGCCTATTGTACCATAGATACTACTGTTAATACAAGCTATATAAATGTCACATATCACAAGTAGCATTTTTACTTCTTATTCACAAGGCCCAGTGTTTGAATCCTGGAACTATTACAACTGAGTTATTTGTATGTTTCCTCAGTTCCTCCAAGTAAATGCTAGACAGTGCTTGAAACAGGATACAACTACTTCCTTCTACATGTTTTCCAATCCATAATTCATGACCACCCTACAATCTGATGATAATATAAGCTGCATAGGTAACAAAGTGGAATTAAACAAAACTTTCCAATATGAACTGGCATACTTATATTGAGGCCATGGAAAGAAGTCTCGTGGTCATGTAGATGAGGTGTTTGCAGCTTCCCCCTCTTCTGCTCACTGCTCCACTCCTCCCCAGCTTCCTCTGCCCTATGTCATCAAGCCTAAGCACTTGTCTTTACGATGACCACATAACTAAGTTCCTCGGACAGTAAAGATGACTGTATTCAAGGACTACCTTTACTGTATCCCCTTCAACTGCCTCCAGCCTATGTCAACCAACCCTGAGCATTTATTTCTAGTGAAGGTTACTGTCATCATAATTCATGTGAACAGAATGGCTAGATGACCAGAGGAGACTACAGGGTAGTATGGTGCAGCAGAAAGTGCAAACATGTGAGGGAGATGTGGGCAGGGTCAATCCATGAGACATCTCCCCATTTTATTAGGCCTGGAATCATTAAATTTTGCTTCGACCAAGAGTGGAGCTACTGATGAGTACAAGAGGCATGAGGACAGACACTACAGAAATTCAGAGAATGTAACAAAATTCAGATACAGAGGTGAGCATACTGCACAGGATGTGACAGACATCACAGTGTCTACATAAATACTCACATTGATAAAGAATGGAATGACGAGCATCACCACGACAACTTCAACCTTTGGATTTACGATAGGTGAGAGGATGAAGTCTCGAACATCATCCCAGAAATCTAACTGGATGAGAAGAGTGATACATATCTTCACGATGACCATGAGGAGAACATACAAGCAGCACTGTGCTACCCAGGCGTTCACTGACGGAGGTTTGCCTGTTAACATGCAGTCACAAGGCTGATAACTTTACAAGGTAAACATCAAAATCAATATCGTTAGTCATATCATGTCAATTCTCAGTGCTCTTCAAAAGTACGAGGTTTTCATTGTGGTTAGTCTTCTGAGAGGTGATACCATGTAATTGAGAAGAAAGGGTCCTCCAGAGTGTTGATGCCTATTGACCAAACAATATGGCAGTACATCCCTGAAGACCACAGTACTAATGTTTGTGCCCATGAGAAACTCAAATCTGAAATATGATTTTTATTGTTAAACTGTTTCACAAAATCTGCATTAAGAAAAGACAAGACCATTTCAAAAATATTACACATCTCAAATAGAACTGCCTCTCTAGTGTGAAATTCTAGGATAATTGTAGGAAATCAAGTCAAACTGTGATTATTAAAAATACTTATCTTCATCAATCAATCTTGACTAAACCAAAAAGCATGCAAGAATTACTCAGACTGAATTAATTATTAATTAAAAGAGACATAACTATTAAATTTTTTACAATCATACATGTAGTGATATACAACGAACATGAACTTGGACATATTTTCCCATTAAAATGCAACTATGTGCTTCTAAAAAAATATGGATACTTAACACAAACACTGCAAGAATAAAACCAAAAACCAATGCTCCATTGTGCCACAAGCCACTGGCTAAGCACTGCCTTTTATAAATACCACGACTGCCAGCCCAGCCAGATTTCATTTCTGACAGTCCAAGTATTTTCCCTTCTCCACAGCTTCCAGACTGACCCTGGGGCCCACCCAGCCTCCTAGGCAATTGGTACTGGGGGAGAAACTGGTAGGGGCATGAAGCTGACCACTCACCTCCATCTAGTGCCAAGGTTAAGAAAGGTGGAGCTATACCTCCACTTCCCCATATGTCTTCATGGCGTAGTGCTCAACTAATTGAGCACAGGGACAACTTTATCTTTACTGTTACTCCAAGCTAAAGTATGGCTACCAACCCTGTAGTACTGGGAGATTTAAAATCCCATGTTCTCACATCACAAGGGATAATTATAAAACAACTCCCAATCTGAATGTGATATGGTCTTATCTGGGTAAGCCATTAACACTCATATCTAACAACATGGTTTTGGACAGCAACATGCAACACCCTGTAGTGGTATACTGACCATATTCACCAAAATTGATTGCTTCCCATCGTCTGACTCTGGAGAGGTACTGAGATACCCGGATCCCCACATAGATGATCCCAAGACCAATGGACGAATCTAGTAAGAAGTTTATGATGTACCTGAAAACAAGAAAACTATTTACAGCAATGGATTCAATGCTTCCTGTACAGCTAATTCCATGGTATAGGACTCACTAGTGGTCTTTTCCTTTCAGGCATCCAACTCAAAATATTGCATGCAATTCTTGTATCCTACCAACTATACTATCAAATTTCTACATTTAAACATTGCAACAATATTACATTGTAATTTTCTTCAGTGCCTTATTAATTCACATGCCATGGGTCTGATCATTCTTCTCAGTACTACTATTTTAAACACCTCCATATTCTGCAAGACACCAAGTTTTGCACCCATATGGAACAATGACATTACATGGCAAACCTTTTGGAAAACAGATTAAATTCTGTTCTGAGTTTTATTTCACACTTGAAGAGACCCCCACCACCACCACCAGAAACTACTATTCTTTGACCTTATATTACTCACAGTATTTACCACAATAACAAAATGAAATGTGATTACATTTACTCTGAGTCATTATTTTATTATCTTCGAAAAGCATTCTATATTTATCTAATAACAGAAACAGATTCAGTAATACAAAGTGAAATATGCCAATATCAGAGACTTTTGAATTTATTCAAAACTTCCTTAAACAAAAAATTATAAGCAAGTGAAACTTACCATGTGCAGGGGTCTCCCTGAAATTTGGTGGCCAAGTAAACATTAGCCAGATGGATAACTAATGCCCCCATGCCTTGTTTTGATGTATCGTAGAACCATATTAACCATGGGCGGCGTTCATATGGTGGCTCACAGAATCTCTTCACTGGAAGACACAATCAATGCATGTTAACTTTGTATTATGATTTGCCCAGGGGGGACAGAAACCTCGGCTATCAGCTAACAGTGCTGGTGGAATTAAGACTTGCCTACATGACTCAATTTAAGTTGATATTAAAAAAAAAACACTTATGCTACACTGTAACTCTTCAACCCCAAAGAGAAATGCAGTACAAACATCCAAAATGTTGGTAAACTTCTATAGACTACATGGCACCACATTCATTCATTTATTGTATATTCCATAAATCCATATACATAGATACAGAACCAGTCACATAGTTAATATAGTACAATACAAATATAAATATATATGTACAGTTTATAATCATTAAAATAGATAAAAAACATGTGTTAAATTTATATCATATTTTATATTTTTTTTATACATTCCACACTGTAGTATTCCGTATGTTCTATGTTAGTCGAGGCAAATGGATAATTTTATGACAGCTTTATACGCTTTCTCATATTTCAAGTTTATTCATTACATTCCATGTTTCACCAACATAGCCTTACAGTATTCTATAACTAAATTAGGTTAGAATATAGTAAGGACACTTATTTCTGAAATTCCGAAGTCTGATCAAACTGGACTAACTTCTTTCTTTCTAAACTTTCCTGTGACCTGCCCTGCAAAAGTTTATGTTTAAGCACAAACATCTCAGAATGTGAAACTGCAAAATGCAATTCAACGTTTGAGAAAAATCGTTTAACAGCAATACGTAAGGTAAATAATGCTTTTAAAGTTCAAAGATTTGAGAAGAAGTGTTTAATTTCTGTATAATTAATTTACTCGAATAAGGATGAACATAACCATTTTATATATCTTACATGAAACGTCTATCTTGCAGTGCTTCAATCTGATACAGAATCCCACGCTACGCAAGACAATACGGTCAACACTCGACATAATGCAAGTTTTGGGGGACAGCTTCAGTATTTGTGTTATGTCAATTGATATTTATCGATTTTGGAATCCCTGATATTCTGTACATTTATCCAGTAACTGACACAGATGAAATTTGAGGTACATTTAACACTTACGTTTCACCAGTGTTACTGGCACAGATCACCAAATTACTTACATTTATGCCCCTTCACTGAAGCATTCATATAACATAGGTTGTTGGAACTGATGATTGCATTTTATTACAACATACTACTTAATATTAATAAATTTGATTTGTTTCATTCTGGTCCGTCACACTAACAGTATTATAAAAGATAAAACAACTCTGTCCAGTGTGACTGTTGAAGTTTTACTACTCCAATTCTTAACACTCTTACATGTTTCAGTCCCTATAGACCATCATGAGAGGGACATCGATACTCTTTGGAAACCACTATTACAATGGATGTTCTGAATGTTAAAATATATACTATACATACAATTTTTGTAATGCACAGTATATACAAAATCCAAAGTTTTCACAACTACAGCGGTTGTCTTGGTATATCAAAGTGTTTTTTTTAAGTTTTAAAAATCGTTAATATACCAAGACAACTGCTGTAGTTGTGAAAACTTTGGATTTTCTATATACTGTGCATTACAAACATTGTATGTGTATATATTTTAACATTCAGAACACCCATTGTAATAGTGGTTTCCAAAGAGCATCGATGTCCCTCTCATGATGGTCTATAGGGACCGAAACATTAAGGGTGTTAAGAATTGAAGTAGTAAAAACTTCAACAGTCACACTGGACGGAGTTCTTTTATCTTTTATAATAATATTAATAAGATACAGCGAACTTAGATGTTCACTATAAGTCTGTTGTTTTAACAATGTCATCATTTCATTGGTATTTTCTAATGCTTCACTCAAATTTGGTTAGGCAAACCAGAAGCATGCAGCCTATTTATAGAGAACTATGGACTTTACCCTGTGCACCTGAATACTGCAGAAAACCATGTTGCAATACAGTCCTACACTGTAACTGCAACATTTCATTGGGAATATGTACAACATATGTAATCATATTGGGTAACATGATCACCCTTGCGGTACATCTGAATCCGCGGTTTGCACGCTGGTTTTTACCACCAGAGAAGTAAATAGCCAAAATACGTTACCGTTATTACACCTGAATATCACGTCATGCATGGCCATACACTGTAAAGGCCCTAAAAAATGCAGCACTACTACGTATACGAAAAAAATCGATATGCGGTTCTCATTTTGAGTTCTATTATTCTGTCGTTTTGTCTACATAACGTAAAACAATTTCCCACAACAATAAACCTTTACTAAATGGCAGTTCTGAAAGACATACACGTCTGATTTGTACATACAACACACATTCCACAACAATTCGATTTTTACTTACGGATTAGACAAGTAAATGCTAGAGCAGCCAAAAGTACTTGAAGAAACCATCCAAACATATCGGTAATATTACATTGTAGACCTCCATGCCTTGAGCCTCCAATTGTTGACGTATTCATCGAAACAGGTTTGAGAATTCTCTTTTCAAATTTGTAATGAACATATCACATACCCTGAAAAAACTAATTTTGTATCAACAACAAACGCACATTCACTTTGCAAAACATCAGTGATCTTCAGTTCCATTACACACTTACCACAACTCGAACTTTGTGTCTATTACATCTTATTTATTCAAACTGATCTTAATTAAGCACCACAAGAACATGACATGTGACATCACATAAAAATAGGACACATACCTACGTACTACGGGTACTACATATCGTACCACTACGATCACCTTCAAAAACTTCAAATACACGTCTACCACTCGAACGCACTCGAATCACTGGAACGGTGTTACCAACACACGGTTTACTACGTGACCCGGAGTATAGGTTCGTTTACGTATACCGACCTACGGTGACCAGACATCATCCGGATACGGTCCGTGACTAAAATGTTCGAAGTATGTTGACAGTGTATATGAGGAAACTATTAAACGTCATGCCTTTAATTGAGGTACGTTCGAAGGTATGGAATACCGGACGTAATCCACTTTTTATACTGTAACCTCGTTTGATTTCTGACAGAAATGGAATATATTTTCTGTATACCTCGTCGCATCATGAAAATATTGTGACGAGGGCTCAAAAGCCAGAACTGAGAAATCAGACGAGACGGTCGTTGGTGGGGAATGGCTCTGCAAACATGTTCTCCCGCAACGAAGTCATGTGACTACGGTAACAGAGACATGGGAAGGGGTTTTCTATGCTGTCCACCCCCAAGGCTAGGGCACCACGAGTTTAAGCAGATGCCCGGCCTGGGGGTGTAACTGGGCCATCGTTTCTGGGGAGTGACCCGTGTGGAGGCGGGGTCAAACACCTCCACGTGACCCTGCGAGTCGTCGGAGGCAACGAAAAGTCCAAAATCTGAGACAGTAAAATATGGTCGCAAGTACTAATGGACTCGGATCCAAGAGAGACTGCTGGCAAGGTCAGCAGCATATACAAAAGACAGCCCCTTCTTCTCATCAGAGATAGCGCCCCACAGAAACAAGACTGTAACTGTGAAACAGTAATAGATATCTGGTCATGAGCTCCAGACACAAAGACTTATTGATTGACTGACTGTCGGTTGCAATGTGACTTTGGGGCTGTAAATAGAGGAACCTGGCCCTCAACGTTGGTGGAGCTTTAATCTGAATGTAAAATATGGTTACAAGTCCAGCTGGACTTCGACTTGAGAATCATTGCGCTGGTGAAAGCCAGCAGCAATTGTAAACAAACCAGCCCCTCATCAGAGTAGGCACCCCACATGGGGATTTCACATCATGACAGTAAGTCCTAACATAACTTGACTTAAGCAGATGTGTCTCCAGACAGTGAAGATAGCAATGACTGAACACACATGCTAAGAAACCTACACTGTTGTGAGCTGTACCCATGCAACATCTGCTGAAGACATGTTGAACTGAGACTTACTGCATGTCACGAATTGTGTAAATCAGTGATTGAGTCCAGTAGTTACCAATCCAAACCCTGTCCCTAAACACATACCATTATGCACTGTGGCAGACATGATAGCCTAACCCTGAAGAGTCGGTTGACATTCAACGGACTGCAAGGCATTGTCCTGGAAGACAACTCATCATTACTGCTGTGAGAACTTCAATTCCTATGAGTCAGTGACAAATCTTTTGTTTTACCTGAACACTTAACACAACAGAAGTGGAAGAGCTGCATCTTCAACAGATATGCTATGGGATCGCTGCATATATTGAGGTAGACCCAAATCTATCAAGACAGTCTTTAATATGCAGAGAGCAGGTGGCTTGGAAGGAGAATTGCAAGCTGGCACTCTGGAAACCACAACTGGAATGGGAGCAGGATAATTAGGATTTTTAATATGTAGACAGCAGGTAACTGGGAAGGAGAAATGCAAGCTGGCACTCTGGAAAGCATATCTGGAATGGGAGCAGGATAATTCTATCTTCAATATGCAGGCAGCAACTAAATAGAATTGCAAGCTGGCACTCTGGGAACCACACATCTGGAATGGGTACATGATAATTCCGATTTTTAATATGCAGGCAGCAGGTAATGAGAAATGCAACTTGCCACTCTGGAAAAATTTCTGGAATGGAAGCAGGATACCACAGAGTTCAACATACTTTGGTGTACCTGCTTGTTACATACACACTAGCAGTGTAACTCAAACTAAAGCATCTCTTAGACTACATACATATAACTGAAAGTCTTTTGGACCCAAAACAGAAAACCATTTACAACCAATGCAGTTGATATCCAATCACTTAATTGCAGTGAAACTGTTACTATTTCATTAAGATATCCACAAGAAATATACCAAACTGACAAGCATGGCCTTAAATGTACAAACATAAAACATTTCAAATGCCATCTGAAAGATTTGCTAGAAATCCTACAGAGTAAAATAGTGGAACTACATGAACACATTCAAGACTCCATATACAATTACATGTGGATTAACCATGGGGCCTGAGTTCACTATAAGTCTTAAACTCACAGAGTTCATTAGATTTGGATTACCTATGGTTTTAACTATCCATTTGACTCCCGTCCCTCAATTACCATATAGCTGAGAATTCACTGTACATAGAATCTGCAAACTCAGTAGCACTAGCAGTCAAATGATTGATACACTTGTGAACATAAAAAAACTGAATGTGACGTTTTCTTCCACTGGCAAACACACCACCACCATGTCAAACTGTATCATATGCTCTTCACTGCAGAACCATGCCCCCCAAAAGAACAAATGTACATCATAGATAACAAAATAGGGCCACCTAAACAGGTGTTAAATTAATCTCCAGAATCCTTGCAATTTATATGAGTTTCTGATACACTGACTAAAACAGCTAGGAAGTTGCATTATCAGACACTAACAAAAAAAATCATTACATCAACAAAGTCACTGGCCTCAAACTTCAAATGGAAACCAGAAATCACCAACCCAGAAATCTTGAACAGACTTAAGTTTCCTTCCACATGGCTGCCCACTCAAGGTATGGCATATCCTCCTCTTAGACCTTAGACAGACAATGTCACCCCATATATTTGGAAGTTGGAAACATCAAAATCTATACATTTTTACAACACAAATGCTTTGAGCAAAATAATTTTACAGTTAACACCAAGTGCCTGCAAATAGTACACAAAAGGAATATTTCTATGGGGGGGTAAAAAAAAAGAAAGCAATTTAAATTTTTGAAGTTTTATTTATTTCTGTGCTCCATACCTAAAAAGAAAGAGAGAACAGTTAAAAATTAAGTACTCACATGATTTGTTATTGGGGTTTTCTCCCCAGTGGCAAATTGATGCCCACTTTGATCAGTCTCTGGCTCACTATTTTGTAACCTTACTACATCCAAAAGACACATGATAGAGGTAGAAGTCAATTAGTGCACTGAGACTGAGTGGGTGGATGGGATGCCAACCCCTACCACTGCTGTTGAGCACCAAGATCTGGAAAGCGTTCTAACAGACTTCAGTTGCCATTTAAAGTTTCTCACAGAACAGTAATATCATCCTTACATTAGAATTCAAGTTTACAAATCCTTCTCCAAATCACCTCTCTTAGGCATTAGCTGAAGAAATTCCTTAATTGTGGGATTATAGGGTCTAATGGTGGCGTTAATGTTACAGACTTCTGGGGATGTAATGTCATGTAGTTCGGTAGACAGGAATGTTTCAGAGGAACCTGCTGCTTCCATCTTTAAGAGCAGAAGCTGTAGTGTAGTAGACAAGGTACTGATGCTTTTGTGCGAACTCTTGCTTCAATCTTCAGGCTTGAAAATGTCGGTACCTATCTAACAAACTCCACAGATTCATATCTCTGTAGAGTATAATATTAGTTAGTTAGTTATTGGAGAGGGTGCGTTTCCCATGCACTTAGACCTGTATTGGTCCACTGTGCTTCCCTCTATGATATTCTACCAGTCTCTATATATCCTACCTGTACTGGTGCTTACCATCAGTCCCGCCCAGCCAGCGAGACCGGCTCTACTAGCTGAGAGGTATCTATAATGCTTCCCCCATCTACCAGAGGTATTAGAGACTGCTGTTGGGCGGGAAACGCCCATTAATTTGTCTCAGTGACCTCCTTTGGAGATAAGAGGTTCTTTTACGTGCCGTAAAGCTATGACGTGGGACCCACGGCTTAAAGTCCCTCCTGGAGGACTTGTTCCCTGAATTTTTCCACCCTTAAAAATTTGATGACCTCCGCCGGGTATTTGAAAGATGTACATTCTGCATAGCTATTTTTTGCTTACATTCTACCAAACAACATGGTTACCAAGGTCCACTGTTGTAATGTTCATAACCAATTTCATAAAAATTTGTCAAAATTTATGGTGGAGTGGAGGGGGGGTAACACACACATGGTCATAGTACAATATGGAATAAAACATGTGTTTCTATATTCACAATGACTGCAGAAGCTGACAAACTAACTGCAAACTGTGCACAAGACAACAGAATTCTGTGTATGAGCAGATACCTCACTGCCAGCACATGTCTGAAAATTATGTTACCTCAGCAAACAAGCAGTAGCAAAGAAGAGAAGCACCAAACCAGAAAATGGTGCCTTCAAAGGTAAAACTTCAATGCAAGCACAAATCTAACTGAAACTGGAAATACCTAACATTGCAAATAAATACGATTTATTCACAACAGCATGCAAAAATCTTCCAGCGGTACTGCATCTTGGTTATACCTTTAAACACGGTGGAAATAACGTGCCGCGTGCTTTAAAAATTGAACATATTCTATGAATTGTACTTATGGGCTATGCATTATCCTCACAATACACGATAATTTTCCTAACAAGTATTAACCACTTGATCTTTGTAATGAAGGTAAAAAGGTCATGTCCTTCTGCTTAATTAATTCAAGCACCAATATGAGAGACTGGAGGTATAGCTCCACCATTCTTAATCTTGGTACTAGATGGAGGTGAGTGGTCACCTTCACACCCTGGCCACTTTACTCCTGCGGAAAGAGCCCCTAGTCCCCACTGGAGAAGCTCCACAGCTGGTCTGGATATTGTGGATTTGAGAAAAATCCTCAAGGAACACATCTCTTGCACCTACAGGAATCAAACCCTGGCTGTCCAGCCCACAGCCTATCACTACAGCAACTGAGCTACCCCAGCTCCTTTGTAATGAAGACAGTCTCTTCCAAAATGTATAAGGATAGACTGAAAACTTCGTGTCATAATATTAGAAAATATGCATAGAAAAGAGAATAATGAATAAATAAATAAATCATAACCAGAGCCATTGTGGTAAAAGGTGCAGAAAAAAATACATAAAAATATTTGTGGCAAATCAGCCGAGATGTGTAGGTGTGCACATTAACTCTAAAATGTTCTATAAAAAACTCTTTTATTATAATCATACAAAAGTTTATTGACAATGTGAACAAGGTGAGGGCATGGCAACATGAAAATGGCTTCCAGAAACTTAGCAGCCCAACAGCCTACTTACATTAAGGACTTAATCTTCTGGCACTTCCAGCTCGCCATTATTTATCTGGTCAATTACATCATGCGGATGCCTTCCTTCCACTGTGCAGCCGACAGACTAAAACAGAGAAAGTTGTTGCAATGTCAAGGCACATTTTAGTTCCATTAATAAGAAAATCACATGTCTGTGTGTGGCTCTGGCTTTTAAGACTTAAGAGGGAGCTACCACATACTCAATACCACAGTTACACAAGAGCTCCAGAAATCCCTCCCAAAATAATTAATTAATAATAATTAACAAATTAATAATAATAAATGGAAAACCTTCAAAATTCTACGCAGCCCAACCTTGAGAGCTGAAACCACACATTATGCTCCGCTATGCAAATTTAAGCACATAATGGTTTAGAGCACGGGAGTTACACATCAACTTTTGAGTTTCTGTGTGCCCGAACTACTGCAGATTGCAATTCTGAATTTGATTTAATTTTTGTACTAATTATTATTTTTATTAATTCTTCTATTCTTCTTATTATTGTATTAATAATTAATTAAATTAATTAGTTTATATTTATTTTGATTTAAGTTAAGTGAACTACAGTGTGTGCTATTTTAACGCATACCAATTGACTACGATTATGTTGTTTTAAATCATGAAGCACGCAGTTGCATATGTGATGAATGCGCAATATTAGTGCAGTGTAGCAGTTTTACCATAGTATGACACCTCAAGATGACCATTTAGGGCCGAAACACATTGCATCAAAAGTCTGAGTGTAAGAAAGAAGGAACAATTTCTTGCATTGTTGACAGAGTGTGTAGTATAAAAACCTGTATTAGATACTGCAGACTACCCTGCACAAATATTCTACCTCCATGAATGACCCTGATAATGGGACAAAGGGTTGAGTAATATCTTACCAAAACAGTGCAGATGCACCTATAATGTCTTTTCTTAAGACTGTGTATAATGGACATATAATATTTGTGCTGTAAACCATGGACATAAAATATGCAAAACTGTTGTACCTGACATGTTCCTAGAATCTCCTTCACTGTTCCTTCCATTTTCCTTGACATGGATCTATCCCTCATTGTTTTTGCAATGTTCAAGATGTCATCAAAGGAAAGGTTACCACTGTGCTTAACTGAAAACAAATGTAACACAAGGTCACTGGAAAGGAAATTATGGAAGAGTATAAATCTGCACTGGAAAACTGGTGCAATAGAAAAATCCATCTTCTGACTAACTGAACTTTTTTTTTTCTCTTCACACCAACCAGAGCAAAAGGGACCCAAATAAGACTGGCACTGCACAATGCACACAACAGTTACCTGAATGCTTGGTAAGGCAACTTGTTTGCCCCGCCCCCTCAACAATTATGGACAGCCCAAACAAAACAGCTGTTACATGCTATATTATTAATATAAAATTGATTCAGAAAATTGTAACAGGCACAAATAACCGATCCTACCAGCTAGAATTTCAGTATGTCATTATTTCCTTCCTTACAAACATTATTACTGTATTTCCAACAATGATAGAGACCATATTTCGTAAGACACAAGTACATATTAAAATTAAGCTTTATGCAACTTGGCCAAGGAATCAAACTGCACAAACCAAATTTGATTAATGACAAAGCACAAGCATAGTCTGCAAAACAAACCAATATTCTAACGCCTATGGGACCATAAACGTGCCTTAAAAGAAAACCCCCAAATATGTAGTAGTATGAAATGATACATGTCATCAGTTCTAATAATCAACGCCTATTTGCTACAATTGCACTCAACTGTTCTTCTGCTTTTTCCTGTCACGAGGTGGCTCTTTCAGTGCTTTAATAATGAGAGATGCTGCTGAGGGGCAAACTGATATTGCAGCTTGCCTATTCTGAATTGTAAGCTTGACAGTGATCTTCAGACCTTTCCAATCTGAAGTTGCCTTCGCAATATCATCACCAACTTTCTTGGGAGACTGAAAACAGAAAAAAAGGTGATTTAATTAGCATCTTTTTCTTTCAAAGCCTAAGTCAGAAACGACATTTATGAATCTGACTTCGAAGTAAAATGTATTTACACTCTTCACACAGATGATACAGAACATTAAAACGCAAAGCAATGCAGCAAGAATATATCTTGCAGAGTACTATGTCCCAAATATCACCCCTTAGACTGATAATCATCTACTTGACTATACAGATACCCATTTCCGGAAACAGCGCTCTTAACTCTCACCGCCATAGAAACCTCACATTTCACAAAAACTGAGCTTACTGAGTTAGTCCCATTATTTAATCTCACAAAATGTTGTATTACTTACGAGACCCAGGGGGCCTATTTTTGGAGCCAAGGATGATGTTGCACCTACTTCACCACCAACACACCTCAGATACACTGAAAACAAATAATTTGTACTGTAACCGGAGTACCACGTGGTAAAGTTACTCAACACCCATATGCATAAAAATGAACTCACCGACTTTCACTTCACTTGGATCAAACTTCGGTGGCATATTATATTATTACTGAACAACTTTATAAATTTGTAAGAGATAATACTTTGCAACGAATGTAAAAATATTACACCTCGATGTATTCACGCCTACTTTCGCTACCTCCGTTCTGTAAAGGAAACGGAAATAATGTTCACCTCACCAGTACCATAGAGCATCGTACAATCCATGGATCAGAGCGGAAAGCATGGTTTACCCCTCTCGACCGTTACTCAGAATATATAGTCCACGATCACTACATCACTACTAAATCGGAAAGTATTCTGTGATTTAAAAGTTTCAGGCGCCAACGCTTAGTGCTGATGTGCATTGGCGTTTAAAGGTAATATTATGAGTGTTAAAATCAAAATGTTGAAACCATAAGTGAAAGCATGCAGCTAGCGTATATTTTGAGATATAGCAGACATAGTACATGTATCAATACTCTTTGTAAGTTCTGAACAACTAAAAAGGGGTACTCAAGCAAAATGAACGTACAGCCCTTGTTTGTGGATTACAACGAACCACTCCCTCATCTACATACTTTTTAAAAGTGTTTCCGTAAGCTGTGTTACGAAAGAGTCATTTCAAATATATTATCCATTCAAAATTCCCTATTATAACTTAATAGTTATAGTTAATAGTTCTTCATGCCTGATGGAAGTTCAGAATGCTAAACCAAGTGGTACCTAAACTATCCAAAGCCGTACCTCTCTACGAAGACAAAAATTCTCTGCTGTTACTATACAACACTACTTTAAACAGCTGATCTCTTGTGTGTAATGTTTTCAGATAAATGTGATTCCCACAAATGAAGATGGAAAAATCCACCAAGTTCAAGTAAGTCTGGCATCAATAATGTTCCTTCATGGTTTGTAATATGAGCTTTAACAACTGAAGATTCCTATTGCTTTTTGTTGTACTTGGCTTTTCATTATCTCAGCAAGCTGGTAACTAAGATTCTGGTGTTATTAGAATCCAAATGTTCAAAAATGTCAACAAGAAGTCAATCTCATGCTATGCTGACTCACTCCAGACTACTGAAACAATTCTAATGTTCTCTCTCCATCTTTGTCTGCGTTCAAATTTGCCACTATTTAAGGAATTTTCCCACAAAAACTGTCTGTGTGTTTCTTGTTTCTCAGTCTACATGTCCAGCCCATTGTGACTTCAACTATCACAATAATACTCAGAGAAGAGTATGAATCACAGAGTTAAAATGTATATTTAAATTAACACTGTTGCCTATTGCTAGAAAGCAATGGACTGTGGAATGAATACTCAGGAAAAGGGTGCTAGTACTGTTGTGATACAGGTGTATTATATATTAAGAAAATAGATTTTATATTACTATATTAAGGATCTTGGTGGTCTTTTGATCATGTATGTAATTTTAAATGTTATTTTGATATATGGAATGTATTGCTGTACAGTAGTTTTGTTGTATTGAGTATTTAAATTTTGACGATGATGACTATCTGATTATGTATGTATATTTATATGTTATATTGTATTATTGACTTGTTCTATATCTGAGGCAGATGCCTCTATGGATTTTTTTGAACTATAAATAAATGAATGAATGAGTAAAATCTTCTTAGGTGATCAGCAGCATACATTTGGGGCATGGGTCTAATGTTTGAGAGGTGAGATCCAAAGCTAGTGACTTCTGATCCAAACTGACATGAGTTATTTCTTGAGAAGATTTTATCAGTTTTAGTCACTATGAACATTTCATGTCTTTTACTAGTCATAAAATTCCTCATTATGTCATCTGCTTCTTGCTTGTTGCTTGTTTGGTTTACTCTTTTATCCTGAAAATGGAGGCAACACATTCCTCCGAAACATCTGGACTTCTACCCAACTACATGGAATCACATCCCAGAAGATGGTAATCTACATCCTTAATATATAATTTCCCATTCCCTTCGTATTTCATTTCTCTTAGATATGATTCTTCCTTTCAGCATTCCTGAGGGTAAGGGACCAGTTACACAGTCATATAAAAAGTTGCTATAGCAATTGTTGGTAGCTGTTAAAACAGTGGCTGTACATGATATTATGGGTACTATGTTGAATAGGCCAATTATCAATTACTATTCTCAGTAGAACAATTTCAGTGAAATTTCACATATCTTTCCAATTGTGTTCCTACATCCTTTGTTACAATAGGAAACTGACATTTATACAGGAAATTCCAGTATGATCACCCAAACTTCAAGACTATTTTGAAGATGATGAGTGAGTGCAACATCATTAAATACGCTGCTTATCGAACAGCTGCCAAGTTACGAGTCTTGCAGAGAGCCCTTCACAGTAAGTTTCTAAAAATTTTAATTGTCCAGGCGAGCTGATGAGATGAAACTAATAATTATCACCGGCAAAACATTATATCATATGTATTGTTAATGAATCATTGCTCTTTCCTGATGGAGATATTACACATGTTCACTGCTTTGATCTTTCATTTCAGTGGACACCCTACGACTTGGGCTGATTGCAGGAGTATTTGACAGGCATCACTTGCAAGTCACAGAAAATGGAGTTATCCTTGAGTACAGTGAACTGGAAGCTGTAATTTTTGACATCTTTTTTGCTGCTCAGAAAGAAAATCTGTCCCGCATAGACGTGGATCTGACTACAGAACTCATGCTGAACTTGCTGTTCAGTGTTTATGATGGGTAAAACTAGTGTTAGCAATCATGAAGGAGAGAAGCTCTTTTGTATCTTCGATACAGACATTCAGATGTCTATAAAATTCAAAATTCACACGTCTGTTATTGCTGAGATATCATAATCATTAGTATGATGCCTGTTGAAATTAATTTATTATCAAATTTGGAGCGTAGCCATATTGAATGAACAGTTCCTTTGAAAATGCAATATTTTTTCTGTAAAAACAAATATCCAAAATACCTGAACTTAGTAACTCAATAAGTTCTGGGACAGCTACATTTCTATTAGATAACAAGCTTGGTAGAATAACAATATACATGAAGCAGTATGCTGTGAATGATTTGCAGTAAAGGACACTACAGTACAGGCTTCTTACCGTCCCCCTCTGTGTAACCTCTAGCCACACCGGTGGGTCGCTACTCTTTAACTTCCTTCCTTCCTTCCTTTNTCTTCTATTCTTATTTGTAAGTACTATCAATTAATATTCATACTGCTACATACATAATGACAAAATAGCAAGTGATAGCTTTTTATATTTAAGGCTGCAAATCATATAGGCATATCAAACATGCAGCTCTTTTAGATATCAGAAAATATCAGTTCTTGTGGCCCTCATGTTTAATCAGACATTTTTTAAGCAGTGGAAAATTTCAGGATTTTTCTTTCTTAATTTTTTGGTACATTCTCAGTTCAAAAGATGAGAATAGTACTGTTGGGCTTGGGGTCCCACCCTTACATTTGTTATTGCTATTATGATATGAATTATATAACGTCTAACATTGCACTTTGTCAGAGAGAGCTGGGATAGCTCAGTTCCCAGCAGGGGCAAGAGATATTTTCCTCCTCTACAGTAACCCAAAACCATTTTATAGGAATGACCTCTCAACACACATTTAATCAATTCAGAATAAAATTTTTTGTCTCATTAACAACCGTCACTGAAAGATTAATATATATGGTAAAGTTATTGACCATGTATGTTTCTCAGTATTTCCTGTTTATGTTGTGCACTTGTCTCTTGTTAAGTGCTGTCCTGTTTTTATGAAATAGCATGGCAAAGCCCCTAACACAAGAAGTGGCATTGAGATTACATACCCCAAGACACATACAATATCTATTTCTTACCTCTTTGCTCATGGTACATTCTGTCCCATATTTAAAAAGCATGCAATTACAGAAAGCACAGTGGCTCACTAAAGGTGCTCCCAGTGAAGGTAGCACTGACTGTTTTGAGCTCAGCTGACCTACAAAAGAAGTACCAGTACCTGTTCAGTCAACTGGCAGACCACAACAACTGCATCTCCAGCAACAAGTTTGAGACCCTGCTCAAGAACCTCACATGTATCACCGAGTATCTCAATGAGTCCACTGCATTTGGCTCCAAGTTCATCACTTCAGCAGTGGAGAGCTGTTTCCAGCAGGTAGGTCGCCAGTGTCTGTTCTGAATGAAATGATTCACAATGCATTTCTATGCTTTGCAGAAAAGAGGGGCAAATGAAAAAATTAGTCTTAATGAGAGAAGAGTCTCACAAAGAAATCCTTAGTATAAAAAGATCATGTTTAAATTGAGATGTGTCACTACAGCACAATAACTTTCATTCAGTGCATAATGACATACTGAGTTGAATGCAATACTAAAAGTTGGAAGTTTTTCTTCTTCCCTTGAAGTCATATTTATTAACATAAGACTTTTTCTCATAACATCACAGATTCTTTACTGTGTTTACAGAAGCCCACCATGGGACCCTACCCAGAATTAGTTGAACCCAGACAGCTTCATATCCTATTTCTTTAAGATCTATTTTAATACTGTCCTCCCATCTATGCCTAGGTATCCCAACTGATCTCTTCTTTCAGATTCTTCAGCTAAGATTTTTTTTTATATATTTCTGTGTTACATGTTGTGCACATTTCATCTTCTATCACGCACATGTTCTGTTAGTCACAGGGAACATTAGGTATAACAGAGAACATGTTCATCGGTTGGCTGCTCAGTGAACCCCAGCTGCTAGTATGGCTCTCAACAATGTATCGTATGCAGGTGGCAGAAACAGGTAAGTTTATGTTGAAGTGCATTATGTTCATTTGAAAAGAAGTTCAAAATCAACAACCACTGACAATATTATAAGAACATGTTGACCATCCATCAACAGACAATGAATGGGAGAATTTCCATAATAATTAACTCCATGGTATACAGTGTTGCTGAAAAGTATTCATCTGGTTATGAAATTTCTTGTCATTTTTAAATCCAAAGGTCCATCACAAGTTACCACACAAGTCCACTCTCAACCACATCCTGAACCATTCCAATCATCTTCATAGCCACAACATATTTCTGTGAGATCCTTTTCACCATTTTCTTACATTGTAGGTTGGAATCGTAAATGATTTATTTCTGCAAATTTTAGGGCCAAAATTTTGTGTGCATTTCGACTTTACATATGTTACATGTTCTGTTCCAATTGATCTGAAGTTAGTCATCCAGCTAATTCAAAGTGAAGAATATTCCCATTATGCATTTCTTCCGTTCCACCAATCCCGATTATTGATCACTGCTTGTCTTGGATTTCCATATGGCATCATCCTTACAGTTTCCTCACCAAAACTCTGTACACTATTTCTCCTGTCCATGCTACTTATCTTGCTTATCAGCTAACAAAAGTATCAGAAGAAAGCTGTTTATATAAGTTCCTCTATCTCTCATACATTGAAGTACCTACAGGACACATCTTGTTGTTGGGATGTAACACATTGTAGCCTTGTTGCAGTGAGTCACAGTGTGAAGTGCAGTGCTTGTAAGGTGTACCCTGTCATGGGGCTGCGGTACCAGTGTCTGGACTGTCTCTGCTACAACCTGTGTCAGACTTGTTTCTTCATGGGCAAGGTTAGCAAGAGGCACAAGCTGAGGCACCCAATGCAGGAGCATTGTTACGAGGCAAGTCTGCCACATGTTTGAAGCAGTGATTCCAGCACATCCTGGATTTCTGTATTTTTAAAGCAGTCAATTGATATGAGAATTGAAGGAAATTGTCCATCATCTGGCAATACAGGATCTGAACATCCATTTATAGCACATGAGCTAGCCTGTGGCTCTGGGAAAGTCGCTGAGAATGCCATCAGGGAGCGTATGAATAGAGAACATAAGGAATGGTCGGCAGTCCACATATGGACTGCAATTGCATTTTTACTTTCCGGATACCCCTCATACTATGTGACTGTGAAATTCTATATGAATCAAAATTTCATCCCATGTGAACCCACTTCATGAAAACAAGCAACTGTCATGAAGTAATATACTGAGCTTCATTCAAAGTGCAGGATTCCTGGAGAACAAAATCTCTGAAAGAGGAAACACAGCAGATTGAAGATGGTTGTAGTGGATGTTTAATGCTTTCCCCTTTAATCCATTCTATTCTAAAATAGTTCCATGTTAGGTGGGTCCCTTGTCACCACGGCATGGCACATACTCAGGTTGCGGATGGAGACACCCTCCAGGCATGGAGGGAAGCTGTGAATATATTGAATAAGTAGTTGCATACAACCTACAATGGGTGGTCCTCCAGCTAGGGGGTTGGGCATGGGGCTAACAAATCCTCACCATGAACTTGTTACAAAAACGTTCAGAAGGCCTCAGACCTGGATGGATCCTCTGGATAAACGACCAAGGCTAAAGAAAATGGACATGAGATTCAATATGTGGAATGTTAGAAGTATCTAAAAGATTGGATGGGATGGTATGGATTGGATTTGATCTGGCTCAGGATATGGACCAATGGATTGCTCTTGTGAACATGGTAATGAACCTTCAGGTTCCATAAAATGCTGGGAAATTTTTGAGTAGCTGAAGAATTGGCGGCTCCTCAAGAAGGGCTCAGCTCCATGGTTAAGTAAATATTCTGAAATAGCTAACCCAGAGTACCAGGACTGCAAAATTCATAGATATTTCATTGACAATTAAATCCCACTGTTAGCTGGCAGGTTATTTTCAGCACTGGATAAGTTTTTAATATATACAAATGAAATCTAGCTGAAACAGTCAAAGAACTTCAACTTCATGAAAACTGACCGCTCTCTCTGCATGTTAACCCTTTCATATTTCTTTTATTTATTACTCCAACATACCACAACTTTTGCATGAAAATTTAAAAAAACAAACCCTTTGGTATGGGGAAATATGAAACTGCTGTCACCTAATATTTCTGTAATCAGACTAGTAGAGGGTCTCTCAAAGAATGTAAAGTGCAAAGATCACAACACTTGGTACATGATCATAACATGGTGGTAAATTCATAGGTGGCAGAAAGCTTCCAATAGGGAACCTGTGCAGGAAAATTATGATGTCAGAAGCCTTCAAAAATAGGACAAAAAGGGTTGAAATTGTTCAAACGCTGCCCTAAACATGTCTGTAGCATTAAAAGAACAAGTTTGAACTTTGGCATGAAATCAAAGACAGAAGACTGGTCATTTTGTCTGTGTGTTTACAGACATCATCCAGAGAGACGACATTTGCTTTTCTTAAAATACTCAAGAACAAGTTGTGTGGAAATTCGTCAAAACTGCAGTACATCTCAGTGCAGCCTTATGATGTGGTTTTTGAAAGCAGGTGGGTTATATCCAGCAGTTTGTTACAACTATCATGCAATGAAGCTTTAGCTACTATGTACTGTGATATTGACAAGGAAAGTAGTCACATCACAAGGGAAGAACAGGTATGTCTGCTTGTACTGAATATGTTCCTGGGACAAGAAGGCTTTGGAAAAGTAACAATTTTATAATGAAATGTTGTGGATAGCTTTCACTTTTATCCTGTCTAATTCCAGTCACAGTGGAGATGATGTGTTGCTTACCCCAAGCTGCATGCACAGTGGGGAGGGTGAGTCTGACGTCTCCACCCCAACAATCATTCATAGCACCAAGGACATTCAGCCACAGAAGGAGTTACAGAATATCATCAGCCAACTGGAAGAAGAAAACAGGTGCATGGTTACATTTTGCCATTTTTCAAAGACAAGAAGCAGTTCTTAGATATGCAACTTCAGAATTAAATTTGTCCTGATGTAACTATAACAGAAACATTTCCATGATATCTAGAACACAGTACAGCTATTGGTCACACCACTGGTTGGGTGTGTTGATCAAGGGAAAACAATGAAAAGCAAATTGGATCAAAATGTAGTGATCAGTTCTTGGCAGTGGGCTGTGGTTACATATACTGCAATATTATGGCTCCTAGTGTTACTGTGTGAGAGATCCTTGATTTCATTACCCTAATAATATTAGCATGGTCCAGCTAACCAAACATGGCGTTTTGTCAATAGGAGTACGATTATCACTGATGCCCCAGAATGCCAGGAGATTTAATATTCCCTGTTCCTGGATAGTAAAGGTTTTTTTTATTGCTAGTGGGGTGGGNACTAACCGCTTGAGCTATGGCGTGGCCGTGATGGTAAAGGTTAAGTGATATACTACTTTGTGTAGACTGTGGGGCAGAGTACATGGATTTAAAAATGTCTTTGGTTTTTCAGGTGTTTTGTAGGAAGTGGACAATAATTAGCAAGTCTGTTACTTCTTACAGGTTGGTAACAAATGTTTACTTAACTAAATTGTAACTTACATTTTGCTTTATGAGGGTGTAATTTGTGTTGCAGGCGTGTCCAGCAGACTGTTGAGCAGCTGAGTGGGAAGGAGGACACAAGTGATATGTGTGAGCGTCTTCGATATCATTACATCCATGTGGGAACCCAAGTGCAGCGGCTCAAACTACTCAAGGTCACCTCATACATTACTAAATTCTTTGAAGCCTCTGATTTATATGAACCACAACACAATTCACTTGCCTATAGTATCAGCATCATTAGATCGCAAATTATATTTTATTGCCATATTTCATATTTTATTTCCAAACTGAAATTAACAAAAATTGCCCATCTTAAAAAATCTACATCTTAGGAACATGCATCAGTAGGAACTGGATAGCTCTGTCAGTGTAGTGACTAGACTACAGGCTGGATGACTGAAGATTTTTCTCTTCGCCACTATATCCAAACAAACACTGGAGTCCACCCAGTCTCTTACCAAGTGGGAACTGTTCCCTTGGAGGCAAAGCAGCTTGAGCATGATACTGCTCACCTCCTCTGTCTAGCGCCAAACATTAAGAAAGTACCTCCAAAAGAAGGCTCACATAATGCCAGTCCATTATTTTTAGATTAACTGCTACTTCAAGAGTATGGCAGTATGATGGAATTATCTTTATATGAACTTCTATGATAATCTGCTAATTCAAACTGGAGCACACTAACACACAGATCTTGTTATGCTAAATGGTTCATCTACAATTTCAGTACTATTTACTGGAGAGATCCCCCTATCAGCTGGAACATCTGCAGAGCACACCTCTCCTGTCAGCCACACAGCAATACAGAGAAACCTCATGCTTTGAAGACATCAGTCCAATCACCAAAGAGACAGAAGACAACAAACAATTGGCTGGAATGAGGGAGTTGCAGCTCCTCACATGGCAGATGAAAAATGACAGGCAGACCAATGAGAGTGATAGTGATGAGACAACTGTAGAAGTCAACAATGTCATCTCTACAGTGCTACCCTCAGTGTCAGATGTGTCAGTAAGAGACCTCAGTACATGGGTGGCTGGGAGAACTCTTGACAGAGCAGAAGATAAAGACCCAAGTACATTTTCTACCTGGGTGCCAGAATGCTGCCACAGTGACCCAAAACAAAAGCTGAAGGAGCTGCATGGAGATCTGGATGCAACACTTCAGAAACTGCAGGAAATCCTGGCTTCAAATTTCTTACTAGAAGGTACCGTAGGATACAAACACTCATAAAGCCTGCCTTCTTTGTTAACTCATAGATTCAAAACCGTGGTCTGTCTTCAGGATGTGAATAATAAATAGCTTCTTCATGTAATACTGAGGCTGGAATGGGACATATGTAGTTTCCATGGGAATGCATAATGAACACATACAATTTAGAAAACAACCACTTTTGTGACTATTGAAAGACAGTGTCTAATGGGCCTTAGGAACATATCGTGATTTAACTTGGATTCAACTGGGCCCAAAGTATGCTATATGTTGACACTGTTAACCCTTTTCTATCCTCTGTCAGAAGCCTCTGGCACCAACATTAAGAGTTTATTGTCACATTACAATCAAGTGCTAAGTGTTATATCTTTGCTCTTCACACTCTTTGACACACACAGATGGCAAGGGTTTCATACCTTCCCATACCAGAGAGTCCTTTTTTTATATTTTGGCAGATTAAACTGTAGCTGGTAGAAGTGAGGTTCAAAATAAAAAGGATGGAAAAGGGTTAATGTTAGGCACTCAAAAATTGCAGTTTGCAGGTGCCTATGCTTTGTCAAAATTTTAGGATGTTAGCCATTGGATTAAAGAACTATATAATATTAGGAAAGGGGCTAAGAGATGCTTACAGAAGAAATCTGGTCATGTCATGTACTTAATGTACAATATGTACTTCCATTTCCACACACTTTGTCTGAATTACCAGTGAGGTGTGTACTATGTGAAACATTGTTGGTCTCTGATAGATCAGTTTGGTCTGGGGACTCATTTTGGGTTTGGATTTTATTAGATTGAATGAAATTTGTAAATAAAATTAGCAAGTATTGTTGAGATCATAATTTGGTGTTTCTGGTCAAGGGATTGTCCATTTTGGCTAGTACAGATGAATCAATTTTAATTTTCTTGACAAATTTTTTGAGCCAGGATATCAAAATGACTGTGGTTCAGTCCCTAGAAGGGACAAGAATATTTTCCATTGGCACCCTAATATCCAGACTGACTGTGAGGCTGACTCAGCCTCATAACTAAATGGATATACCAGGGGTAAAGCAGTCAGATTACGAAGGTGACTGATCTTGAACTAGTACCAAGCCCTGACCTGTTGATACCATCAGCTCAGCAGTCACTAGCCACTATTTGCAACTGATACCTAGCTGATATTCGAAACCTGGAATTTAACCCTTCAGTGCCCGGCCCCGTGCCCTGAACACGTATTGCAGCTCTAAGTTTCAGCTCATATTTGGAACTGTTTTTTTCATGTAAAGTAATTCTTTTGGTATGAAATTAAAGAGGCAATTTCGTACATTCGTTGTCCCACTTTGAACTTCCTGCGGGAGTTGTAATACATTTGAATTCTTTGAAAAAAAAATCTATTTCAACACTTTGTGCGCTTGTTACCATACAAACCTACCTCTGCTTAGGGGAATTCTTATTAACTAAATATGTTAGATTGATACTGTGTGCTATCCTCTATGCTGACCGAATGAAAAGTCGATTCTCTTGAGGCATATTCTGAACTGTGCTGCTTCAATATTGGTATTTGTAACTACGAGAAGACACGTGGAGAATCTATGACTTTGAGATGTGATGTTGACTCTAAGAAGTGTGTTATAACTGCTACATAGCAAATGATAAACAGTCCACTGTATGAATGATAACTACTTTAATTCCCCTTTGTTATATAAATATGCATCATGCAGTCTGGTTAGCCAAGGCCAGCTGCAAGGAATGAAGTGGCCAGCTGTGTTGTGTCATGATCAGTGGAGAATATATTTACTTCAAACTGAATCAGAACAAAGTTTTATCAGATTTGGAATTAGACACTGAAAATGGATGTTTGTGCTTTTCTCGATTCTGTGGTAAATGACAGAATCGAGAATAGCACAAACATCCATTGGGAGAATATGTAAAACTAAGGGACAAAAAGAAAATTTCTGAATGCGATGATAATATGTAGGAATAACACAAGGAAAAGAATAGATAAATTGTCAATCAGAATTCAGTTAATTGAGAGACTCTCTGTGAAATATGCTAATGCTGTAGAACACAAAGTGCTGGGTCAACATTCGTCAGACAGACAGTACTCTGTCTAAGAGAAAGAAATTTTATAAGCAAGATTCCACCAACTACTAAGAAATCAAAAGCATAGAAACGGCGTGTTGTGTGTCAAATCTGTGTACTGGTGTGATGCGTGTTACGTGGGACCCTGTGTGGAATGTTTTCACAATTAACACACTCAGCTGAACTTCTAAGGTAATATGATACTTTCATTCATAATGTTTATAGGCTAATTGTGCCAAAAAATAATTTTAAAACAGTGTTGATCAATACACCGATTCTGTATACATTTCTGAATGTAGTGTGAAAATTAGAAGAAAGAAAACTCCAGTTTTTCCCAATTTATTACACTTCAAGTGAAATGTTGCACTCTCCGATTTAAATATCCTCTGGCATAGGAGTTGAGTAGGAATTTAAATGCCTGCTGGTGGTGAAGTGTTAATCAAGTATGTGCAAAAATACAGGACCAGACTCCTTTACACAAATTTTCCTCTCCCCCCCTCTCAAGCGCTGTTTTTATGAGATGTTAAATATGGCTGAAGTTACATTCCTGTTTGTCTGCAGAATCCTTCAGCAGCAGAGACAACACTCAGCTTCAGCAAGGTGCACAGGAGGTGGAGGACTTGATCACAGGTCTAATCAGGAGTGTTGAAAGTCAGAAGACATCTTGAATCTGCTGAACATGCACAGTATTGACATTACTGTCTTCTGGCACATGATTGCATCTAGTTTGGTACAGTGATACCATCATTTAACGAAATGGAGGCAGCGAGTTCCTCTAGAACTGGCAGCTTACTTGGCATCACATCCCAGACCACAGCAGCAATCTTCATGGCCACTACCATGAGAACGTCAGTTCTCACTTGCATAGTATTATCTTGAGTTATATGTTGTGTGATACAGAAAACTGTTATATTTTTATGTAGGATGTAATTTGTAATAAAATAGAGGAATTTGAGAATCACAATACTAGCTGAAATATTTACCAACATCTGCATTAGAAATGCACAGCTTGTGGAGAGAAATTCGTAACATACATCCTACAAACAAGTATTTATTAACACATTGACTATTAACTGCACATACTGTCTATAGATTTTTTCCAATTAAATTCGTTTATGCCCCCTGGAACATGTCCCACAGGCAGTGTTTAACATTGCTCCCTCCAACGCAGATCCTGAAACACCTGCCCAATTTTCACGAAACCCTGCATGAGTGATATGTCACTCAGGGCCATACCAGAACATTACAATAAGTAATGAAAGCATGACAGGCACACAACCTTGTGAGATGGGAGACACAAGTGTAGCAATGAACTTCGAGCAGCACACCACCGCACATCAAACTGTGCACCTCCCTCTTCATTGGGGTAGCACTTGGTGAAATAGGGCAATATCAGGATAGGTTAATGAACCATAGTACTGTGCATCCATGTATTTGTACTGACACAGTTTTGTCTGATAGTGTTAGGATGGGTTAGGTCATGCTGATTTTGATTATATTGATACATCGTATTGACTTGTATCCCTCAGAGCACGAAATTGGGCCAAGTCATTTTGAATTTACAAAAAAATTAAGACTTTGAATTCCATGGGTTTTCAATTTTCCTGAGATTTAAAAATTTGTTTTCTTTAGAAAGTTTTCAAATTCTTCAATAATTCCATTATTCAAAATAAAGAGATTTGGAAACTTTTAAAATATGCAAAAATATTTGACAAATTATTTTTTTAAGAAATACTAGCATTTGTTGACAAATTATGAAATTCTGTAAACTTTACCATTTTTTAAATTCTCTAGACAGAGAGAGAGAGAAGTCAGCACACATCACTACCACTTAGCTTGCAAACGTCACTGGAATTCCATCAAATCATTTGTCTACATTTGCTCGTCTACATCTGCTCTACATAAGGCTGTATAAATTTATGTTCACTTGCAGCTGTTCATAATTTCCCACTATCAGACACATCTATCCATCAGCTATATGCCACATGGTTTCCTTCTGTTGTGAGAGTGATCACCTTTCAAAGTTGATAAGAACCATACCACTGTAGGCAATGTAAAGTTTAATGCCTTAAGTTTGTGGTAAAAATAATAAAGTATACCACTGTATATTGTGCAGTACATATAATAATAATGATGAAACAAAAAGAAACTGACTGAAGGAAATATTCACATGTGTGGAGTGCAGTAGTATTCACTGTATTCATTATAAGTAAACATTACCATTGCAAGTAGTTACTATAGGATTCTGACAATGGTGTATAACACACTGATATATTGGGTTTTTGGACTTTATCCATCGTCCTGGTTTTTAAGATAACTAATAAAAACACGACGTTTCAGAAACTGGATCTGTTTCCGTCCTCAGGTGAAGGAAAACACCTATTCTGTTGGGTCCATTAGAAAGAGCTAGCCTCAATCACTGGACCAGAAGTCCAGTTCCCTATGTAACATGTTTCTCCTTCTCTCCCTCTGTTCAGCTTCTATCATTCAAGTTAAATAGCAAACTCCTGACATCCACAAATTTCACAATTTCAATCCTTCGAACTGCCTGCCATTTTACATTTGTGCTTTCCTTTACAGGTACCCCAACATATGAAAATTTTATATCAGGATACTTTCAATTGACATTATCTTCAGTTGGTGTAAACGATCAATTATTATACATTTGAACTGTACAGAAAAATAAATATTTAGATTATTAAATAACATATTTATACATATGAAAATAACAGATATTACCTTGGTGTGTTCAGATACTGTCCCTTTTACTAGGAGCCCTTTCAAGTGGTTTCATCCAGAGGATTGGGAAGGTGCGAATTGAGAGTTGGCATCAGGCTCCAGGATAGCACAGGGTATTTTTAGGCATGGAGATCTGAAAGAACAAGGAAGATTTGAAGCATTTTGGAATGGGTCTAAGTTCTTACTAATAATAGGACTTGGAATAGGGGGAAATAGTTGTTCATCTCATGACACTGAAAAAGTCTGATGAAACAAATGTTTTCTCCAAACCACAAAGGGGTGTTTTACATCAGCTAGAATGGTTTATATCCCGCAAATTCGTGGTATACCTCAGCTGAGGAGTCCATGAGACATATGGTGTGCGTTAAAAAGTTAAGGTTAGGAAGTCATCCAAATTAACATGATGGGTAGATTTATTATGATACAGCCCTTGAGATGAACTACAGTGGTAAAAAAACGAAAATTTAAGTTCCAGAATACTATGGCTTGGCTACAATACAATAATACTTCAATTTGAGATTGATAACATATGCCCAGCAAACAAAAGCATTCTGATCCTTAAAGCACATGAAGTTGCAGTCCATGTCTGACATCAGCAGACATATGCAAGAGGAGCCTTAAGAATGCTTGATACTTGCAAAAATCATTATGAACGGATAAAATGTGAAATAGTAAAGAGGTGACATTGGTTTTGCAGGAAGGCTGTCACTGTAAACATTACTGTCATATTTATATGACAAATTAATACTTGTGACAGTGCAGCAGCAATATGAGAGTAAGGATGCATGTTTACAACATATTCTCTACATTTGAAAACATTTCATCATACAAACATTATGTACATGACATATATCTTGTTAGAAATCTATTATTTTTACATTTTAGTATATATTTAGTGGAATACTTCAAAACAATCATTTATATCTTCACATAATGTATGAATTGCAATGGACAAATATGAGCCTACATGAATTCTGCCAACTTCTAGTGTAGGTCTTCAGTACCAAATCCACTATGTATGACATCTGAGGTTATTGCTAAAGTGAATTTGAGATCAGATCTGGGATGTAATGCCATGTAGTCTGGTAGATACATAGCAACATTTCAGAGGAACCCAGTGTCCAAGTGTTCTGGGTCACTTGGAAATAGGTGGCAGTATGTTCCCCTGAAATGCTGGTACCTATCCACCTGTATTACACAGTGTCAAATCCAAAAAGACCATAATCTTTAATCCATTATATACTTTTGGGATAAAATGTGATGATAAATGAGCAAATAAACATGGTCTCCCCGTATGACATTCTTTGTTTTACATACATGCATACAAGATGCCTATGACCATGATGTCATGAAATATGCAAAACTTTTAATCATACAGGTCCACAGTGCTAGATCTGAGGACTTCCTGTTCACAGTTCAGAAGTGAATGGAACATCTGTACCGAACATAAGGTCATTCTGAGTTCACTTTATTTACATAATGAAGTAACTTTGCTCTGAATCAACCCTTCCATTGAATGATGGACTTCTTTTATTCATAAACATAAAAAAATATGATTTTTTTAAGTGTTATATTGTTTTTGTACACTGACTCACTGTTATCAAACTGTTAAAAGTGACTGAGTTTCTATTCGAATCTCTCTTTCTCTTCATAATGTAGTGTCTGTGTTAGCTTCTGTTAGGAAAACAATACATCTTAACTTACATTTCTAACCTACCAGGTTTTTCTGTGAATAATTAATTTACATTTTAACATTATTATTTCTGTTAAGTCATGGTTATATTTATCCTGGAGTGGAATGATCTGGAAAATCACATTGCCACCAGAGAGTTTCAAGACCGCAACAGTCTAAAGTTCATCCAGAATAAAATGGCAAGATATTCCACAGAAAAGAGAACCTGTTGGCTTTATATTTAGCAGATCCTATGTGGATTTCCCCAGTCTGTTCATGCTTGACACCTAGACTGCTTCCTCTCTAACCGCCACTCCTCTGATGGGATGTTTTGTTTAAAAAAACATTGCAAGAACCCGTCACAAATGATAATCTTCATGAAACACAGTATGAATGGGACACAATAGGAAAACTGATGTTTCCAGCTGACAGAGAGTATCAAAGCGACTTATTTCTAACTCATTTCCACCCTGATCATAAGCCTGGTCGGCAAAGAGAAACATCATTAGGTAAACTGATGATGAACAAAAGAAGGTGAATGTTTAAGTCTGCTCTCCTGGATTCTCATAAGAGTTCTACCTTCTGGGATATAATGTCATACAGTCAATTGACTTTCAACAGACTATATAGCATCATATCCTAGAAGGCAGAAGTCTTCATAACCATCTCTGTGAGAACCACTGTTTCTGAAATGGGAACCCATTTGCAGCTTCATGTGGACAGGAAATTCATCACAACCTGACCACCTGAAGCAGAAAATCCATTTTCAGAACATGGTGGTTTCTATACAGAAACTGAGAAAATGCACAGAGTGCAAGAGAATAATCTTAAATGTCATGTCATGGCACTGTCAACAAGAAACCTATATTAGACCCAGTCACTGATGAAGCACTCTGCTTTCTTTATGACTGTGATACCTATGTGAGGTTGAGGGATGTATCATAATTCAGCTTTTGTTATTCCTCTCCATCAGCCATTTCTTGCAGCCCAATTTCATACCATGTTTCCTTATCAAGTGTCCATGTAACCCTGTCTCTATGTTCCTGCCAGATCAGGTTTAACCCATTACCATATGGTTTGCACTACTGGATATTCAAAATATCCCTATAAAAAAAGTCTAAATATTTCAAAACAAATGCCCCAAAATTATCATAGAAGTTTTGCATGGGTTCTCTATATGTTTGTTGTCCAGTAAGAAGATTGCTTTGACTGTAATTTGAAATTTCTTAGTCAGAAAAATAACTAATCTAACCACAATGGGAATATGTATCACAGTTGTCAAAATATGTCAGTGGGTTAAAACCATACATCATGAATGTAAATGTACAAAATGACTGGAGTAACTGGTGTAGGTCACCTTGCCATGTGTGAAGAGTTTCTGTTTCTGATCATAAGATCATCAGTTCCGTTTGGACGAGTTGATGAGATACTTGCAGCAATGGGTGAGAAGGTGTTTCTCGCTACTGCCATCACTCTGACTGCCACCTAACTCTCGTGTGTAAATATCCAATCCATATTGTCCTTCCTCAGGAAAACTGATGACAAAAGTAACTACATCATCATCAGACACAGAATGTGACACAAACTTGGAAAGCCTCTTCTCTTCAACACCATTCTTGTGCAGTGTTGCCATGAAGTCTGTCAGAGGTCGGGACATGCGGAACTGAAGCTCAAGCTCTCGACCAGCAAATACTAGGGCATCCTGCACAACAAGAGTAGGACACTTCAGTATGTCAGTGTTTGGAAGAAGGGGAAAAGTTCCTCTCCCAGGAGAAACCAGTTTCATCCACCTAACAACACTCCTCTACCTATTTCCATACTTCAACCTTTCTTAGTGACTGGGGAACTCAGAAAGGCTTTTTATTCATATTCTGAAATTCAAATTTCCTTCCTGTATAACTTTTGTGGCCCTGAAAGAGGTGTTTTTGTCTCTTTTTCACACACTTCCAGTTTCCTCCAGAAAACAGCAGCAGATTCCTTCTCAGTATTCTGTTTCCAACCTGTAATGATAAACCAGTGACCCCTCATTATGGCTGTTTTTCATTTTTTACATTTCTTTCCATACTGCTTAATTGCGAGTTAGAATCTGAGATTCTCTTTATATTTCTTCATGTAACTTTGAAGTAAATTCCTGAAATTTTGTGTGATCACAAATCTGTTCAATACACACAAATTTATTGTGGGCCCTGAAAGGACAAGAGAATGATCCTATTGTGTAATGCTTAGAAGAGGTCAACTAGCATAATAGTGGGGACAATGATAATGTGTTTAATGTTCTTACCTCAGAAGTTTATGTGGTACTGTTGATGGTAGGGATTAAATACCAGAAAACTCAGCTAGTTGGTTTAAAAGTTATTAAAAATACAAACACATGTTGGGTCACATGGTTCTTTTCCCATAAAGAAAACCACCACTGGCCACATTTTCTGTTAGCTTCATGGAACATTAAACCATGCGATTATGGTGCAAATTCTCACCTGATGTGTAATGGGGACCAGCCCAAAAAGTCTTGTTGCCTTTGTGGGCCCCCATTCACCACTGGCACAGTCTGGCAGGGGCACCATTACTGTCTGCAAGTCCTCACATGCGATCTTGAACTTGCAGACACTCTTGAATTTCATTGGTTCTCCTGTGAGATATTCCTTTGGGGTCACAGCATTAGCAAAGATGTCAAGTAGAAAAGCCCCACTGCATGGTGCATGCACTCGGAATGCAACAATGTTGCCCACCACAGACTGGTAAACAGAAATACCAATTCATTGGACAATACTCCAACCTGAATAGGGGGCAGCACTTTCTTGCAAATTGCTGGTGCCTACCAAACATAAAAATGTCATATCCCATAAGACCATAATCATCTCATTCACCACCACATGAATCACACACCTTAAATACAAACCATATAATAGTTCTGCTTTTGTTAGGCATGATGTCATCATATTTATGTCATTTTATGAAACTCTGTATGACCATCATACTATTATAGTCAATTCCAAATCATTACTTCCTGATTTCCTACCATCACCACTCCAATGTCAGCCATGAGAATTTCTGAGGTGGGAACAGAACTAGTGTCACTTGATGTTGGTTGCTTGGGATCTAATGCTTCGAGCTATGATATGTTTGATCTCTCTGGCTTGTGCCCATCTGGGCAAAGGCACATAACCCATTTCTGAGATAGGGGCCACCCACAGGTTAGATTCTCTACGATCAGTGATATGGTGATTGTCAGTGATGGGCCTATAGCTTAACATGGGCTCCAAGCCATGGTAGGGGCCTGGCATTCTTAACATCCCGGAAGTTGATAGTTTGAATATGTGACCAGAAGAATTTGCATACAGATCTGTCCAGATATGGAAACCAGAACTCTCTGAATGAGAGTCCAGTAACATACCCTGGGACCACCAGATCTCCATGTGTCAGTGTAAGATCCTGAAATGCTATGTGGTAATATACTTTTTGAAATATACAACTGTTAAGTTACTTTTACGTAGAACAAAAACAGCAACATGGTTACTGTAAAAACTAAAGAAACATGCAAGTTAGCCAAGTGAAAGTCTGAGTGCAGATAGATTACAAACATATCCACAAAATCGGTAAGAAACATTTGTTGTATGTGAGTCATTACAAAGATGGTGATCATCTGACCACTTAGAAACAGCTATAGTTTATACTAATTAAAATTATTCACAGAAATTTGTCACTAATTAATTAATAATTAAATTACCAGCATAAAGTCTGTTAAAAATTCAATGAGAAACCTGAAATCACAGTTTCAATGGATATGCAATTAATGAATATGTGAAATTCTGAAAGGTCAGCTACGTTTATACTAATATACTAAATTTGCTAGATTTGTTTACTTTCTTTATGGTTATTTATGGTTGGTGCAATATTCTGTGACTTGGCAAAGGCTTTTGACTGTGTAAATCATGAAATTTTATTAACTAAATTACATTTTTTTGGCATTCAAGGAACAACATTATGTTGGTTCAGATCCTACCTAGAAAACAAAAGATTGAAATAAAATCATAAAATTCAATCCAAAGTACCTACTCAAACTGGGGAATAATAAAACATGGAGTTCCACAGGGGTCAATTTTGGGGCCTTTGCTTTTCATAATTTATATAAACGACCTCCTTCCTACACTAAGGATCTCATCAATACCTATAATATTTGCAGATTACACTAGTGTTATAATTTCTGGTAAGAATTTAGATGATTTCTGTATGTTATCAAGCAAGGTTCTTTTGCAAATGAGTAAATGGTTTTCTGCAAACAAGCTGTCCCTGAACCTAAAAAAAAAAACAAATGTAATATATTTATAACAAAAAACTCACCACAATATCCATTAAACATAGGATATAATGATAAATATATAGAAGAGGGAGTAAACACAGAATTCCTTGGCTTGCAAATTGATAATCACTTATGCTGGAAAAAACATATTGATCAGTTAATTCCAAACCTAAGTAGAGCATGTTATGCAGTTAGATTCATGTTACATATTAGTAATATTGACACTCTCAAATCAATCTATTTTGTTTACTTTCACTCTTTAATGAAGTATGGAATAATTTTCTGGTGTAATTCATCTGACAGTAAAAAGGTATTTACATTGCAAAAAAAATTGTTAGAATCATGATGGGTGTCAAACCCCATAATTCCTGTAGAGACCTATTTAAGAGACTACAGATCTTAAATTTTCCTTGTGAATATATATATTCATTAATAAACTTCATTAAAAAAAACGAAGAACATTTTCAGATGAAGTGGATGTAAACAGTATTAACACAAGACACAAACACTCTCTTCATAAACCAATTGCTAACCTCTCATGCTTTCAGAAAAGCGGATATTATGCTGGGATCAAAATTTTTAATAACCTGCCTTCTGATCTCAAAGGTCTTAAGAATGAAAAGGCATGATTTAAAACAGCACTGAAACGATACTTAAATGCACATTCATTCTACTCTGTTGATGAATACCTATTGTCTAGAAAATAACTTATGTATCTTTAAATAGCCTTGTGTGTAGTCACTGTGTATTCTTGGTTTCTCTTGTGTGAGAACTCCACTGGGACTGTACATATGTTTTGTATTTATATGACATATTCAACATCCTACAGTCATTTTGACTAACTTTGGATCCATGGAACGCAATGCAATGTAATGTAAGAAAAAAAAAAGTGATTTAGTGATGTGGTCAGTAGCTCACATTATACAGCATGCCATGATGGCGCATGTAAAGAACAACGAATGGGAAAGGATATGCAAGGAAGTGGTTGTGGTCTAATTTGAGGTACTATTCCAGCATTTGCATGGAGGTACTGAGGAAAACCATGAAAATACTGTCAGGAAGGATAGCCAGTCTCTAGGCTGAGATTTGAACCCATGACCTCTCGAATGTGTTGTCTAGTTATACATAAGGAAGCTCCTGGAGAAAAGAAGTGTGTGTGTGTGTGCCCATGTGTGTGTGCGCGCGCGCGCGCGCATGTGTGTGTGTGTCACTACATTCTTACCCTATAAAATAAGGGAAACATACTGGAAATGCCATTCATATTCTACTGACTTTGGAAGCTGTGCAAGACAGCTGCAGCAATGTCTTGGGCCTAGCAACGTCACACAGAATATGGACAGTCAGTTCATACACCAACCTGCATAACAAAGCGCTTGAGGCTGACTCCATCAAACCCATCACCATCACTGTCATAGAACTTGAGGTTGTAATGGAAGATGAGGCTGGACTGCATGTGGGCTGGCATGGCTATCCGCACTGTGGCTGCTCCTGGGGACACAACAAGAGACTTTACATTCCACATGACTTGGAGCTGACCAACTGACAAGTGCAGTCCTCTTGATGCTTCAGGTCTTTCCCACTTCTTGAATTCATGGAGTATTTAATGACAATATGTCAATTAGTATATTTACTGGCTACTGATGTGCAACTGGGTTTGATTCCTGGCAAGGGCAAAGATTTTTCTCTTCACTACAGCCATTCAGACCGACCTCTTCAGGGAGTAACAACAGTAAAATGGCTGTGGTCAACCACTCACATTCATCTAATGCTGAAATTAAGAATGCTTTGAAGTGTACCTCCACTCCCCCCATATAATCACTGTGTAATGCTAAATTAAGAAAAGGGACTAGTTTACCTCTACTGTACTTTAGAGTAGAACCTCATTTAATGTTCAATTTCAGTGATCTCAAGTCATTACTTCAGCATTAATTTTCTTGCAATTAAGGTTTTCCTAAATTTACTGTCAAAATTCAATGACACCCTTAGAGAACTAAAATAGGGAATTCACTGTATTTAGTGGCACTGGCGTGAACTCAAATTATATGGCATTGACTCAATGGCTGGCTATGAATACCGACTTGGAGACATCAAGTTTTTCTACCAGACTACATGGTAACACATCCCAGAGGGCCACAGTCTTCATTAGTCTTATGTTGACAGTGGCATTACCCACATACAACATAGTACTCACCAGTTGAGTCGGTGAACATGACAGCCTTTGTGTTGGAGTCGGGGAAATACAATCCATATCGGAAGAAGAGAGACCTCACAAAAGGCAGTTCCTCAAAATCTTGCAATGTGATGGGATTCTTGAGAAGCTGCCACTCTGACTGCAGGGGGAAAAACTCGTAGATGAACTCACGTGGATCCGTCAGAAAGTAGTGATCATCATATTCGTATCTGTATCAACACCAAAAGCAATGGAGTAGCAGGCTCATGGAGGAACAGTTTAGATTTGTCAGCCATCAGAAGTAAAACATTATGGTATAACAATTTTTAACTGTCAAAATGATTTTACCTGAAGAATATTTAAAAATTCAGATCTTGCCTAACAGAAAACATTGAATCTCTACTACCAATAAACACAAACTGAAGAATGTTCTTTAAAGAAAGAACTGCTGCTTATTCTGAGAATCATATGAAACACATATTGCACATATTCTGGACTATAAGACATACTTCAATTGCAATACTGAAATATCTTTAATCTGCTCTGTTTCTGTGTTCTTCACTGTTATTCATCACTCATAAGTAACATTTCTATGAAAAACCTCTTCTGCCTTGAGCCCACTGCATTAAAAATACAAAATAATGTATCAACAATAGACAGCATAGCACTGAGATCCCAATGAACTTGCAAAAATTACGCTGTGTTGGGGGGGCATATTTCAGCTCTTGAAATGGACTCATCCAAAATGTGTTGCAATGGGAGACAGGTAAAATAACTATGAGTATATCCCTCTTTCAGAATATATTTTCAGTCATTTCCATTGTCCTTTACTATCTCTTTGAACTACAAGACACACTCAGGCTTTTGTCATAGTTTTCCAGGGTAAAAAGGGTGTCATATATTCTGGAAGCATAGCAAACGCTCTGTAAGGGTAGAGCATAAAGTTTATAATTGCCAAAGCAGGATATACATGCAGTCATCACTATGCCATAAAGGGTTAGGGAGTGTATAACTGATACCCTGCATTAACTGACAACAAAATTTACAAGTTACCTGAGACTGTCTGACTTTCCCTTGCTGCCTGCCTTGGGGACCTCCTTAGCATTCACAAGGTGCCTTGCTCCCCAGTTGCACTGCACAAAGCGCCAGGCACCAGCCACGTATACAGCATTCCAGGAATTGCGGAAACGGTTATCCTCAAAACGCACTCCAGGTTGGTAGCCCGCAGATTTGGAGTAGCCCTTGATTACCACACAGTGCAGGCCTGCATAACTGCAACATGTCACTGCATCATCAAACAACCACAGAATTTCAGAGGACTCTGTCATTATGTAATTCAAATCTCTTAGCTACAGAACATTATTTTAGGTTCCAGTTGGGCCACAAGTTGGTGAGATAATTTAAAGTGCAAGGAATGATTTAAATAATTAAATGTATTGGATCCTTCTTCAGCTCAAAATAGTCATGCTGCTGATGAAGAAATGAAACTCAAAAGTTCATTACAGTATTCACAACAGTAACATTTTGACACTGGACCCTGGACCCACACAATTGTGGCCGTTCATAATAAACTGACCTGCAGAGCCGCTTAAAGAGCACATGGTAGCTCTCAGTTCCATGCTTGATGCCCCGTAGGAGTCCCATTGGTGTATCACCACGCAAATTCTCATCAAACTGCATTGTGTTGAGGTTTTTGACAGTGATCCATCGAAAAATGGTCCTGAAATTGAGGGCACGTGGTCTGTCAGCAATAAAGTAATGGCATTTATTTCATGAAAGTTCAGCGATGCCAGCCAGATGGTTGCATGAGCCCCCCAGACTTGTCAGACAGAAAAATATGGTTAGAATTACTGGGATTTTGGACTTTGCCCAGTGTCCAGTATTCTAAAAACTAGATAACACAACATTTCAGGAACTGGATTCGTTTCCATCTTCAGGTGCGGAAGGAGACACTTACTCTGTTGGGTCTCTTAGAAGGAACTAACCTCAGTAGATGTCTCCCCCTTCGCCTGAGGATGGAAACAGATCCAGTTTCTGAAACATCATGTTTTCTAGGTTCTAGAATACCGGAGGATGGACGAAGTCCAAAAACCCAGCATATCTGAGTATTATACACTACTGTTAGAACCCTTTAGAAACTACAAGAAAAATATGGTCATTAGTCCCATGGGACCCAGAACCAAGTATGACCGTGCTTGCGAGGACAAACAGCAATTTACCCAACTGACTCACCAACTGATGGAGGCTGGCTTACCTGGCCTTCTCAATGTCTGAACCACAGCGTCCCACCAGCTGCCGCACCAAATCCGTGAATGTCTTCTGATCCTCTTGTGCCACCTGGAAGCATAAAGAAACGTTTAGCAATTATGACTGAGGTCTTCTGGGATGTGATACTGTGAACTTGCTGTGTCTCTCTTTATGAACCATGGAGATAGAGGTAGCAGGTTCCTCTGAAACAGTGATACCTGTGTTCCAGGCTACATGCAACCACATCTTAATATCCACTGCCACGAGCTCTTCAAATCTCATAGGCTTGGTACTTACATGTGGGAGATCAGCTAACCTAGTAACACTGCTCTTGAGCAAAGAGTTGCATGCATAAGAAGATAAATTAGAAACCTTGTCAACATTAGTAACCTGCTTCCTTACCGAGATGGCTATTTGGTCTATATCTGCAAACTCAACAGGATCATTGTACACCTCGAACTTGGAGAGGGCTGGAGGTGCTGGGATAGGCGCCTGGCTAGGGTAGGGCAGCAAGACATCCTCTGTGTAGCCATCACCATCATCCAAGTAGAGGGACTCAGCCATCATGTACTCGCTACGCTTCTCATTGATCAGGTCCAGCATCTCGCGACTCTGTTTCTCCACCAGCGCTGCCGTGGCTGCCCTGTAAAACATGAGCTAGCCATGAGAACATGGCTTCTAGCTTCAGGAACTACTAATGATGGGGTGTAATCGTTCTGATTAATTTATTTATTGCAAAAACGAGCACTGAACTGAATTCCAGTTTCACAGACTTTGATATAAAAGCACAAAGCATGATTTCACTTTTATTCATACCAGTTATTCTAAAGATCATTTATATGCTCTGCTAAGTGTGGCAGGAGACATTCCATTTTTCTACAGCTTAGTGCACTCAGAGGACCCTGCAACCCTCAGAAGTACATCCCCTGAATGGCAGAAGAAGGAGCCCACTAGATATGGAGGCATGATCGCAGTATATTGAATAAGGACTTGTGGACCAACAGGCAGCCACAGCTCCTGGAGGCTTTAAAATGCTGGGACATCCTCTCTCTGGGGAAGGCGGGGCTTGTCTGAAAGCTGTAAGCAGATAATCCCTCAACTGGACAACAGACATTGTACTAGCAACCTACTGAGGTTAAACCCTGCTACGAGTGTCAGAGATAGAACAACTCTCATAAAGGAAGAGGAAGTCCTGGAGGACTGCACAAGGGATAGCAAGATTCATGGACTGGAGCAAAGAGTACTGTGGCCTAAAGGGGATAATAGGAAGAGTACTTCATTATGTTGACTCAATTACTGGTTATCTGTAATTGCCATTACACTGAACAAGTCAAGACACAAACTAGAATAATGGCAGTGACATTCCCTAAACATGCAAATTGATGTTTATACCAATATTCCCAGCCTTGTCCTGCAGACCATCTTATCTAATACACTGACACGCTTATGTCTTCTGTTTAGCAATAGCAGTTACTTGGTCACATGTTTATGTCATCATTTTGTAATACATTATATATAGCTTTGCCTGTTTCAGGATCACATGATTCATTTTTTAAGTTTATTTCCGGAATTATTTTCAGCATTTGTACATGACAAATTCTGGAACTACGAATGAACACCATAATAACTGCTAACTGTGATACAGCCAAAAGTTAAAAAGAAATATAAGATTTGGTAAACTACATCCAACAGAAACCTCCATGGGCTACCCACAAAACCTATGTGCAGAACATGTGTTTTTATATTTCTTAAAAACATGGTCTTTTAGAAAAAATTCGTTAAAATATGTCTGGAAGTAAATCACTATGGACAGAAGCCACCTGATACAGAGAACTCTCAATCACAAGAGTGCCAGATTTCATCGGTGTAGAGCTCATGACTGTTTGTTAAAAAAAAAAAAGTCTAAATTTGATAGACTTAACTTTGTGGAGACAGGGCTTAGATGCTCAACTTAAGAACACTTTGGTTCATGAGAAACATTAAACTGAAGGCCATGGGATAGCTTAGGTGATTAATCACCTGTGTCTCACTGCAGAGGCCTGTGTCTAGTCCCAGGGTTGTCTGTGTGGGCTTTGTTGTGAACAGAGTGGAAATTGGACAGGTATTTCCATACAAACTTCAGTTTCTCACCACCAATTATCATTTTGCCAATGCTCTATACCAACCTGTTATCGGGGGCTCATGAAAGAGGCCCACTTCAGGCTGCAGTACCAAAGGACTCAGTTTCACCCCACTACTCTAACTAGACTCAAACTGCCGCCCACAAAGATTTCAGCATGATTGGTCACTGTATTCTACTGAAATTAATCACTATGACTACTTGTGGGAGGGGCGGACATGAAAAATACTTATGCAGTTGAACAATTTCGAAAGCCATTAGTGTTTCTATTGATTGCTCGTTGAAAGTTCCCACACTGAAGATAAAATCTACAGCGATTTCTGTGATATTTAACACCTTTTGTAATGTTGTACTCTTATGGAATTATGTGCATTTAAAAGTGCCTCACTTATTTCTGAACGCTGCATGTAGAGACAAATACATACGGCAAAAATAAACAGCCGCATTCCTGGAAACAGCGAAATTGTTTCGAAGGTCGTGAAATGAGGTCTGGCACGATGTCACCTCTGCGGCGGCCTCGATTTGTGTTTTTGTAGCAGCAAATATCGGAGAAATCTGAACCGGTCAGCCACTCGGAATTGAGGACAGCGTCCCACGTCATCTCCCTTTCCATATTTTCACCTCAACGAAGCGCGGTTTGCTACTACGGAATTCAAGAAAACTTTTTTTAAACACTTTTTATATCGATAATGTTGAAAGGCAAATCCCGTGAAGCATAGGCGGTGTCGTAATTTGTAAACTTTTCACAAAGTAGTGATAATTATGTTAATTATCCCCTTTGGATGGGATAACCACAGTTTTTGGAGATGAAAACGAGACATGCCGCATTAGCGCCCCGCCATCTCCCAAAAGAAAAAATTCAATATTGCTTGGTTCCGCAGTGAGCAGTTCAGCTATAAAAACTGTCCCATTCCGACAGGCGGCAAAGAGACAAGGGGCAGGCATGGGCACCGCCGGCAATACGGACGTAAAGCCGACGGTAGCCAATGATACTTGTGCCAAAACGAATGCTAAGGAGCCCCGCCGAAAGTGAAAGAAAAAGAGGTCCGTTTTTAAAAGAAAAATGCAAAGATAAAAAGAAAGATTAAGCTATCCCAGTAACACGCCGTGGAGGCCCGTTGTGGTTCCCACATTTTCTAGACAATGGGCTCATACAGGGCGGTAAGGTTGTCAGCCTTACGCGCCGGCCGCCAACTATGCTACCGCGTGCCCATGTAGCTGGAGCAATAAAAATGTAAAAAAAAAACTGTTACTTTGACTGAAATCGGGACAAAATATTATTCAGGGCAAACCGTCGGGGAAAAGGCTACACACCTGTAAGACAGGCTTGTACAGTCCGAAATGGGAGGCCTTTAACTCCTTAAAGGCCGAAGCGAGTACGAAAAATACATAAAATTTCGAGGCTTGCTCCCAAGAAAACACACCACGTACCTATAATAAAGTGAATGCGACTAATGGCGTTCGGAAAGAAAACATCGCATATTCCGAGAACTAACTGAAATTAACGAACACTTTCTCTAGGTGAAATTTCAAATTATTTAACTCTAAACACTGTGGTATATATGATTACCACTGTCCATTGACGTCTAATATTCCGAACCTTCTGTACAATGTATTTATATTTTCGTCTGGTTCTTATAATAAACAGCTATCGTTCCCTTAAAACTAACTGGGCAGAAATGTGCGGTGCCATCTGTTGACAGACAAAAATTACTAACCGTGGCGTTCTTTACGATTAAGAATTTGGCTTTTCGGCGACAAACATACGTTCCCACGGAAATGCATTAACCCGAGAGCTGCTCCGATGGAGAGAGAGAGAGAGCGGGAAGTGCTGCACTGCTGATGTTTGTTGGAAGGAATGTCAACCTGTACAAACGTACTCAGGTACAATGTGGTTGTCACTGAACGCAAAGTCCTGCAATTGCGTGTCGTGTCGAAGGTTTGAGACCTTTATTAAGCGCCCTTTTGTAGTATAGTTATTTATTCATTCATGATTTATTTACCTACTCTATCAATAGACCACACTACATAACGTCGAATGACAGAATGATTGATGAACTGGAAAGGATGAAGAAGGAAGCGGTCGTAACTGGCACTTGCCTCGAGGGACCGACAGACACCACGAAAGGCTCCAGTCACGACAGATCGTCTAACAGCAAAAATTCGAATCGGGTAACTTCTCAACCTATGGCAAGGCTGGCATCCACATTTTACAAGAGCATTATTATTTTTATCATTATTAAAGTGTTGGACTAAAGGAATCTTCGGCCGTTTTACTCTTAGGAAAAGCGATAAATGTAAGAAATGGGCAGGAGGCGGGGGGAAATCTCAGGACGGGCCCGAACGTTGTTGGGGAGATGATGTCCTTTCTTCTGCCGGCAATTGAATGGAGGTCGTCCAGCAGTGCATAGCCAAGTATTTAACTGGTTGAACTATCCTGGCTCTTGCATTGAATTGTGTTGTTATTATACAAACATACACATACAATATAAGGCTTTGATATGTTTCCGTCCCTCACCAGTTGGAACGCGTAGGCAGCAACGCCAATAGGAGCGCTATGTGACGGTTCTATTGAGACCTGCTTATAGAAGATGCGCGCGAAGCAAATGATTGGAGGGAACATACACGAGAGTACAACTCGGTAATGTCGCGGATATTAAGTCGCCACCTGGTCCGTACCATTTCCGGATGCATGGCCAGGTTTACCATCTCGTCTAACCGCTATATTCAAGAGAGACAAATACACGTATGCCAGGATATGGAAAACTTTACATTTTCGATTCTGTTGAAGCAACAACAAAACGGCTTCAGAACCAGTGTATGGCCGAAGTAACGCGAGGACTGGGTGACATGCTGCGACAAGTTAACCCATTTACATAAATACAATACGCTGATATTTAATTCATTATCTTTAAGATCTATTAGATCCTTCAGTGCTTGTCTGTAATGGCCTTTCAGCTACTGTCAAGAATTTTAATAAATTAATTGAATGGATTATTTTTTTCCTACGAAATTGGCTTAATATTGCCAGACTGATGAAATACAGGAGGTTATGATGTTCGTATCGGGAGAACATAAATAATTCCACATATTTGGGGGAAGACTGCATGCAATGCATTAATATATTACAGGAACATCGTGAGGATATGTTCTGCCTCACCTTTCGTGCTCGAGCAGCTTGCGGGTGAGGGACTCTTTTTTCTTGTCTCGCCGGAGCGTCATGTTCTTCTCCAGGTCCTCCCGCTCTTGCTGGTGTCGCAAAGTAAGCACCTTTTGCTCATCTGGACGCTTCTTCTTGGTCTGCAATTCGCGTTCAAAGCGAGACGTGAGGCGCTCCAGTTCCTTCTCCCACTCATCCTGAGGGAGGGACACTTTGCCAATTTAACTGTCCAAAGCATTGAGTGGTACGTAAAGATTCAGTTCGTACCTCACAGGAAATACATTACGTCACCAATACTAAGACGAACCGGTTACTGCTGTTTAGGGAAACAATCGCTGTTTAGTGTGAAAACCATGCGGAACACACAGATATACTTACTTACTCATGAAGCTGAGCCTTTCTGGAGGAGTCGCCAATTCTGCAGCTACTCAAGAATTTCTCAGCATTCTATGGAGCCCGAAGGTTCATTACCGTGTTCACAAGAGGCCTCCACTGGTCCATATCCTGAGTCAGATCGATCCAGACCATATCATCCAATCCTATCTCTCTAAGATCCATTTTTATATTGTCCACCCACCTACGTCTTGGTCTTCCCATTATGCAGTTTTCTCCAACCTCCTGTCACTTCATCTCTCTTCGGTTCAAATATTCTCCTCAACACCCTGTTCTCAAACACCCTCAGTCTATGTTCCTCCCTCAATGACAGAGACCAAGTTCGACACCCATATAGAACAACAGGCAAAATTATAGTTTTGTATATTATAATTTCTATGTTTTTGGACAGCAGATGAGAAGATAAAAGGTTCTGGACTGAATGGTAACAAGCATTACCCGAGTTCACTCTTCTCTTAATTTCCTCCTGAATCAGTTTTGATTTGTTATCGTCGTTCCCAAATATCTGAACTGTGCCACATTTTCAAAACATCTGTTTCCTATTTTTACGTCATGATTTTGCCCTGCAATTTGGTGACGAGACAGGAACATATACTTATTTTTTTCTGTGTTTACTTCTAGACCAACCTCCTTAATTGCAGCAATTAAAGTTTGTGTGTTTTTCTTTAAGGTATCTACATTATCACTCAGTAGATTCACATCATCGGCATAGGCCAACAGCTGATGTGTCCCGTTTAATTTCAGTCCCACCTAGTTTTCCTGGACCTTCCTAATGGCATATTCTAAAGCAAAGTTGGAAAGGAGTGGCGATAAAGCATCTCCTTGTTTTAGACCATTCTGGATAGGAAATTTATCAGACAAATGTTTACCTATACAGACTTTAGTATAAGTTTTGTTTAAACACATATTAATCAGCCTAACTAGTTTCATGGGTATCCCAAACTCTATCAGAATATTGTACAATACTTCCCTCCTAACTGAATCATAGGCTTTCTTGAAGTCTACAAATAGCTGATGTACTCTTTACAGATATACTCTTTGAGAAAACTGCAGGTCTGAAAGTTAAAGCAGTTTATACAGAAGTAGTTAACACTGTGCCTTAAATAGCTAATTAACTACCCAACCAACTCACTAAAAATGGGGTTTCCTTGAGCAATATCAGTTATTCGGCTCGTCAAGAAATTCTCTGATCTTATGGAGCACCAAACTTTATACCCTGGAACACATAACTTACTCAGTGCACTTATCCTGAACCAGTTCAGTCTGGTTCACAACGTCACAAACTGTTTCTCAAAGATTCATTTTAATATTGTTCTTCTGTCTGTTGAAAATTCTCCTAAGCGATCTCGATCCTTGAGATTTCTGAACTCATTTCCCATTTCCCCACGAGTTCTACATAACCAGACATCCTGTCCTTTTTTGTTTCATCGCCCTGACAAAACTGAGTGAAGAGCTTAAGCGCCACTAGCAAGTGGGAAATCACCAAAGAAAGTAAAATAGCATATGGAAGGGCAATGCGATCCCCCTTTGAGCTGTTATGGGCACTACAGCCCAATTCCACTTCCTTCTGCCCCTCTACCATGAAGGGGTTCATGCTGCATAGTCAGCAGTAGTCAGCAGGCCCTAATTATCCTAACTTACTCAGACTTGAAACCTTCCCAAGAACACCACATATCTTACTGGATCCCTGCCAATCAGGCCAGTGCACAGTATGTGCCCGATTGAGCGCTGCACTCACCCGGAATTCCTCTCGCATCCGCTTGTCCTCTTCCTCTCTCTGCCGCGCGAACTTCCGGTACAGGTCGTCCTCTTCCTTCCGGTGTTTCATCTCCAGTTGTGTCTGTTCATCTTTGTCCTGAGAAGCGACAAACGAAAACAATTACTTTTCATACTACATGACACGATTACAGCGGAGGGTGTAGAAAGAATGGAACCAGGAAGTAGTGATATAGGTGTATACTGACGGCTGGAACACGTCGCCATGTGAAAGTCTGAAGACTCACTTACTGGACAACAGATGCAGTGCACATATACGAAATCATTATATTAATTATTAGAAACTTAACTTTATTTACATATTTAATTATGGTTCTTAGAGACATAGGATTGGGTAGTATGGACTGAATTAATCTGGCTCAGGATCAGTAGAGGGCTCTTGTGAACACGATAATGAACCTTCGGGATCCATATAATGCTGGGAATTTCCTGAGTAGCTGTATAATTGGTGGCTTCTCAAGAAAGTCTCAGCTCCAAGAAGTTAGTTAGTAATGGTTAGTTCAACAATGCTGTCATAGCTGAGATTACATAGGGTCGAATGGTGAAATGATCAATGGATGATAATGAATTGGGAAGGACGTAGAACGAACCACAGATGTCGCTGCGGTGGACCAATGTAATAGGCCTATTTTCAGGACATCATAACCCTATTAATTCCATCGTTCATAGCCATGATAATGGAGGACTATCTGCCTCCCACAGGACAACCCGTCTATTACTACCTCTTAAGAAAAAAACAGAACTCCACGGCGCAGTAGTTTGTATTCCTGTCGCAGAGTCCGGTGTCCCTGATTTCGTATCTCGATCTGGAAATTGGTATTCTGTCTGAGGTTCTTTTGTGAGCTTACTTGGCGACCTCAGTAACATTCAAAACATATCATGGCCGCTTGTTTCTACGTCTTGCCCGAACAATTATTGACACATTCCGTAACTCGACACCATGTTTGATAAAGCTTCATTAATTAGGCAAACAACAAACTGTCTGCCTCATATGATCGTTTTGTGGGCTCAGGTTGAGTTTAATGCAGGAAACTGGATATACGTATATCATGCAGATAAATCGGTTCACGTTTTGGTGAAAGCTATACAACTCGTTCTTAGATCCTCTGCTTCAGTTGCGACAGTCTGAAGAGACATTGACACCTCACGAAAACGTTCTCTGAGAGCAGAGCCAGTCCGTTACAAGATCAGTTTCTCGCAGAATGTAGAATTTTAAGATCCAGATCTCGATCGAGGCGCGTAAAAGAAATGAAGAGAGCCGGACTCACTTTCTACAGATTCCTTAGCTGATCGTGCGCTGGCCACCTGCGTGTACAACTCCAGCACGCGACAGGCCCGATCAGCCGACACGTCGAGTCTAGACAGCACACTCTCAGTGGGGCAGTAAGGCAGCAAGGTAGGGCCGGACACCTGACAGGAATATTGACATCCCAGTGAAGGGTGTGCACTGGGATCATCTGGCTCGGGATAGGATCCAGTGACACGCTCTTGCGAGCGCGGTCGTGAACCTTCCAAGGACTATTTCCCGAATAGCTCAGTAACTATGGGCACTGCTATGTGCAGTGGGTTAGTTGGTTAGTTAGTTAATTAGTTAGGTAGGTAGGTGCGTATCTTGTCGTATTTGCACATCAGATGGAAATTTATTTATTTCTCTAGCTTGTTCAGTAAAGCGACTAGAGCACGGGTTGGAAACCCGGAGAAATGGGGATGAATTCTCGGCAGGACAAAGAGATTTTCTCTTCTCTACAGCAATCAGACTGGTTTTTAGGGCCCACCCAACCTCCTAGCCAACAGTACCAGCGGCTCTTTCCCCGGGGCAGAGCGGCCGGAGAATAAAGGTGACCAGTGAAGAGTTAAACTATGCGTGTAGCTGCATCTCAACTCTCTCAGCTTTGTTCAAGGCCTGCTGCTTAATTAAGCTCAGGGACGAATTTACCTTTACCTGGGTCTATGAGGTTTCTCCACAGTCTTCGTCACACGGAAAATTGGTCGCGGTCCTTTCGGGTCATCTTCATTTTTTTAAACTGTCGTGTTCCATCCATGTGTTCGTTAGATTCCACAAGTGGCACACGCATTCAGGCCGCCGAACTAAAGAATTTCAGCCTCCTGGATCCGAGGCTCTGACAGCATCACCGTGAGGGACACCGTCTCCTGTTCAGTCCGGCACAACTTCACCGACCTTCCCCAGCTCCATCTTCCGGGTCAAACATATGCTAAGCAAGCAACGATAGTGATGAACGCAGTAAATACAACTCAAGATAGAAGCAGTACTTTCCTGCGAAACGTCGGTAAATTTCCATCGCAATACACGGCGTCACATCTCAGGCGACAACAATCTTCGTTTGTAAGCGTTCTTTTGTGAATGTGTCAGCATCTAGCCTGCTCGGCCTCGAATGGCAGAACAATCAATGTCTAATATGCAAGCATTTGGAAAGAAGCCGCCGTGGGTCTGAAGAAAGCCATGAAAATCCCTCTAGGAAATCCGGTGTCAGGCCGAGATTCGAACGGAATATCTCTCGAACAGAAGTCCAGAGAGTTACCGCTATGCCAACCCCATCGGTACTTTTACATTCCTGCCTTACTGATCGATCTATCCGCAGAATATCTCACCTACAGCGCCGTTAACGGACGCGTAAAGAACGGCTCAGGTGGTTTGAGGTCTAGTTGTACTGGCGGTCAGGTTGAGGTAGCTTCGTGTCCACACAGAACACGCAATTAACATCGAACCGAGTCTCTGGGAGACGCAGCCCATTCCGGAAGTAGTTATGCTTGCGTGACGACACTACCGTGAGAAATACAATTAAATCCTCACGTCATTTCCGCATCACAAGATCAATTTCTGCCCGCGAGGCCAGTTACGCAACTTTGAGCATGGCGAGACTGCGGGAAATACGGACGGACAGATCACGTGAATATCCAAATACATGCCGGTATCAGATAACATAGGACTGTAAGAAAGGTAAAGACATCCCTGCGCCTAATTAATTAAGCATGATGCCTTGAAAACGTTTGGGGGAGTGGAGGTACAGCTCTAACATTCTCGACCTTGGCACTAGATGGAGGTGAGTGGTCAGCTTCACGCCCCGGCCGCTGTGCTCCCAGGGAAAACGCCTACAGTACCCATTGGATAGGGGGCCAGGGCGCTGTGGACTGCCCCTGCCGTGGCTTGTCGCTATATCGACTGAGCTGTCGCGGCTGCACATAAGATTGCAGAATGCAGTACCCACAGAAACCTGTCCAACACGTTGATAGATATGTTCCACAAAACAACAGTTGTAAAACTTCCTGTCTGCCTAATTCAACTGAATGATGCATAACGAATAAAACAAAAATTCTTTCAACCATTTAAGCCAAAAATGATCATCAGATACCGAAATGACATAAAATCGCAGATTTGGCCTTCTCGTATGTGGTGCCGAATTGCTCGAAAGGGAGGTACAGACATTTCGCAGTAACCTGCTGCTTCCGTCGTTAAGGTAGAGGATTCCTTCTAACCTGGAGATATGGGGGGGGGGGGAGGTATCTCTGCAACATCCGTATCTATCTACCAAAGTATAAGGGTTCATATCCAGGAGAACCGTAGTCCTCATTTTCACTAAACTCTGACCCTGTAAGGAGGGCAGTGACACAAGCTGTCCCTGCATTAAGTACGGACCGCACCGCGCAGAAGCAGGGGGAGTGGCTTTTTATTGGCTCCGTCACCACAGTTCGTGCATAAACGTTATATGTTATTTTGCAACATGTCTCGGCTCTTTACGGCCATCATCAGGCAAAATATCTACACTCAAGCTCTTCAATGCTTACATCTGGGGGAGGTCATACATATTATTTTCCGATGTTAATGCCAACGTTGCCGGTCACGCTAGCCGAGCGGTCTAAGGCGTGCACTGTCTTCGCTCGCTCGGAAGCCGGGATCGTGGGTTCGAATCCCACTCAGGGCATGGATGTTTGTGTGCGTTTCTCTGTGTTTGTCTACAGGTAGAGGCCTTGCGACGAGCTGATCACTCGCCCAAGGAGTCCTACCGCATGTGTAAGATCTAGTAAACCGAAGTGAAACGGAGAGTTTCATGGAGGTAGGCCTAGGCCCAAATTGGGGCTGTAGCGCCACAGGAAAAAAAAAATGCCAACGTTGGCATTGAAGTGAAGCCCACTTCTACAGGGATCAAGAAATCAACATTATTTAATAACACCAGACTGGAACAAATAAAGTATTCTAATATGCTGATTTTAGTTTTAAAAGTGAACGTAAATATTTTACCTGAATATGCTCATAAAGAGTCGAAACATGTTGTAAAATAGTATATAAATTTTATATAAGAATTGTGGCGACGTCACCAATAATAAGGTGTTCACACACAACATGACGCTGAAATACAAAATAAGCATCCTCTCCTTGGCACATAACAATGGTCGGTGGTTGGCTTCACGTCCTAGTTGCCTTAACCCCGAGAAAAGCCCTGATACCTTTCTACCCTTCTTCTTAGGAGTTAAGTTCATTACTCGTTACGTCACGACGCTGTCAGCATGCAGACTGTATTGCGTCGGGTGGCACACTGACTAATGAATGTGGAGAGTAGGGGGAAACCGGAGTACTCCGAGAAACCCAGCTCCAGTGCCACTTTATCTACCTCATGATATACACGTACATTCTGAAGATGAGTTAGCACGTCCTTCCTGAATGTCGGTAAACTACATACACAGCGTCACATCTGAGGATCCACCGCTGTGAGAACCTCAAATCTCACACATACTCACACACTCAGCAGATGCCAACTACTTACGCAGGTGGCAACCCAGCTGGAGGACGAAGATGGAACTTCATTCATTGTTTAAACGTACAAGATAGAGGCATGGGAGGATTTGGAAGATGATGCGAAATATTGTACAGAGCGGTCGCATTTTATGCGAATTTTAAATGTATAAAAATTTAATAACTTTTCACTTCATGCACGAAGTTCGAAATAATGCGACCCCCTCCCCCCCGACCAGAATCACGCATGTGCTTCAAAACTGGCCTTTACCACACGGCAGGGCCTCTCCAGATGGCCGCCCATTAACAGTATCGTGTGAACCATGCCG